TCTGTACTTGATAGATACTGGGACTGTGAGTCGCATCATCACAACAATGGTCAACTACATGCACCTGCGACTGGGAATGATTCCAATCTGGCCGCGTCCTTCCCAAGTGTCAGAACGATTGCCCGATGTGTTCAAGGACCTGTATCCCACAACATTCTTGATCATTGATGCCACAGAGCTAAAATGCGAAGTTGCGTCCAATCTGCCTGCACAGTCCCAACTGTACAGCTCGTACAAGACACATACCACCTTGAAGGGCCTCATCGGAATGACCCCAGCAGTGGCGTGCACCGAGTCTTGAAAGGGGGGTTTCTAGAGTTGGTAAATTTTTTCTGGAAACACACTGTATAATTATGTATTTGTGCACATGCGCATCCCCCGAACATCCCGTCAGAGATAACGGTGAGGGCTAGGGAGGAGGGGGAGGGGGGCTCAAGATCAGGGGTCCAGGGCACGAATTAACACTGCTGCTGATGAGATGTGTAGTGGGGCTCCTCCGACTGTATGCTATCATCATGATCATGCCGGCACAAACGCGTCTGAGAGGGAACCAGGTCTAGGGGTAGAAAGGACAGAAATAAGAGTAATGTACTAATGAGGAATGGAGGGAGGGGACGATGTTATTATGGAAATGTTGGTACATGTATCACCGGTAGCAGGATAAAACGGGTTACCTTTTACATACCAGCACTTTTTTGCAAAGAGGGTGCAAAAGTCAATGCACTCATATACATGTTTGTCATATTGAACACGTAAAAGTAGTTTGATAGGCCTAGCCACCCTGGCTACACTACAGTCCGTAACACTATGTCTATGGTACTTCACTAGTACATAGTCCACTGCAGCTCCAGGCAAGTCTGTTTCATCAAAACAACACTGCTTATATTCGACGTACATGTACATGTATCTTTCTTTCTGTTCATATGACGAAGTTTTCAGCATGTATTGGCAACGTTCCACATGATTTCAATTTTGTGGACCTTGCTTCGATGGAAACTCGTGGAAGAAAAGCGAATCCATGCGTCCTTGAGTCGCGGCCGGAGCAGCGCTTCGTTCTGAAGTAGTGCAAGTGGATCATGGACGCACATTTTTACGTCTTCCAGTCGACAACGTTTTTGACGAACATCTCTGCTGCGCACATGAGCGAGAACGAAAGCCCTGGAAGTCTGTGGATCTATGTGGAGATCTTGATTTGAGTCACCTGTTTGGAAGGAGATATCGTCAATCATATTCTTGAACTGACTTGCATCGCGCGTGCTTGACTCAAATTTCGAGACGAAACGAATTTCTTGAACGTCATCGCCAATCCAGAAGCGGACCAGAGCTAGAGATCAATCTCTCTGTCACCAGTGTGGCTACTCTCCACTGAAGAAAGAGAGAATAATGTATTTTGAAGTTGAACTGCATGCAAAGCAACTCTCTCTCTCACTTCGAAATAAGGACATAGTGCACTAGTGACTGTACTGTATACTGCCCAACGATCGACGCGTATGCACGATAACCAATCCAGTAGGCACATTTTTCCTTTGGCGAGATTGCCCGAAAAAAGGTGGTTTCCAGACACCAAAAAACTCATACGGTGCACGCGCCTGCCCAGATGGTGTGTGGCGTTCATCTCCGAGTTGTTCACTGGATCTATCAGTGACCGCAAGCTAACGATCAGAAGCCATTTCCTAGATCTTCTCCCAGCAGCCGGCTATGGGACATCGATTATGGCAGATAAAGGATTTGACATCCAGGATCTCTTAGTGCCGTATGGCGTCAAGTTGAACATTCCCCGTTCAAGCGATCAGGACACCAGATGGCCCTAGAAGACGTTCGGAAAACGCAACAAATCGCCAAGTTACGAATTCATGTTGAGCGTCTGATGGAGCGGATCAAGGGGTTCAACATATTTTCCAAGATTGTTCCAACAACTCTTTTCCCCATCATCAATCAGATATGGACAGTTTGTTGCCTTCTCACAAGGTTGAAATGTAAAAAAATCGAAAATTATTGGTGCGGCTTTGGCCGCACCTGCCGCACCGGTTCCGACGCCCCTGATCAATCTATCGGTATCAGCAACCCACTAGTTTCAGTGAACCACCATTCACACTGAGCGCGGTACAGGTACAGTGCTGGCAACTGAAATCCGACCCCCTTGCCGGCAAGGGGGTCGGATTTCAGTTGCCAGCACTGTACATCAAACCACAGCTGGAAATTTGGTCGTAACCAAGAATGTAGCGATAAATTACAGATTTGATAGGTAAACCACTTGTCATTTTGAGTCCACTTTACGCCCTGGGCTTATTTCGGGCATGGGCGCTAAAACGGACTTGAAGAGTACACTGCCTAAAACTGGGCTTATTATCGGACATGGGCGTTATTTAGGGTGGGCATATTTGCGGAATTTTACGGTTATCCCTTCTGGCTAAATCCTCACAGGCTCTTCCATGAGAAACCGCTCCAACTCAGGACAAATCCTTGTCCTGAAAGAGGCTCGTCACGAATGCATCTGTCACCTCCTTCCGGTGAGTTACAAGATGGAAGCATGAAGAAGTCAGGGTAATTCTCCTCAGTTTTTTCCACAATTCACTGCTACCCTGACTACGAGTGAGCCGCTCGATAGCTATGGTTTTGCTATGGAGTAGCGGTCTTGCAAACTCATCACCTTCCCTAGCAGACTTCGGCAGTGGTAAATCACAGAAGTGCTGGCTGGTAGAACACTCAGCGCCAGCAGGTTGTTGGCTGGCAGGTGATTCTGAGGTGGCGTTTCGATCATCACTTGCTGTTTGCGAGCTTGACGCTGCCAGCTGCGGTTGGTCAGCTATCGCCACAAATGGCCGCTTTCCAGCTGGAGGCACATCAACTTTATCCCCCTCGAGCTGGTGGTAACACAGCACTGAGCCGAATGGGACAGCGCCCACCTTGGGCTGACACTTGTGCACCTCCTCTCCACGCAACAGCAAAGTTGCAATGGGGTGCCTGCGGCCGGTTGCGGTGTCAAGTTCCTCACACTTGATCTCTTTGGTTGAAGGACCTCTCGCCTCATAGAGTGAGGATGCTCGCCGGACATTCTCACTGTCATCCATATTCTTCGACGGATCCGCTTTTTCAATTACGAGTGAAGAAACTGGCTGTGCGACAACTTGACGAGGCAGAGGACCCCAAGCCTGCTTCTCAGTTGTGCAAGTCTGCTCTGCTGGTACATCCTGCTGCTTCTTCGCACAGTGCTCGATGCTTAGGAGCAGTGCGACGAGATGATGGCACGAGCCAGCAACTCCAGCCGTGCAAGAGCAGTGTGCATAAGCGATAGACATCAGGTAAGTAAGTTGTAGCAGCTGCTTCAACTAAACACTCAAGTGCATAACTTTCTTTCTTGGACTGGGACGCCCAGCACTTGGCTTTGATGAAGTATCTGGTCGGGGTCTCAGTAGACATTGCAATCTTGCATCAGGTCACAGAATGTATGTTACTCCAGAAGAAGAAGTTGAATCCGCGGGTGAAGGGCTTTTCACGGTAGCATGCTTGCCGCAGGCTTGGAGGTGATCGAAAATCACACCAAGGGATAGGTCATTTGGCAAAGCAGAGCTGGATGTGTCCCACCCTGTTTCAGGAAAACTAGGACGAGATATAGCTGCTACCGTGGACGATGTGCTTATTGCATCACTATGGGCGTCTACGAGCTCAGCGTCAACAATGCTCTGAATGGCAGCACTCTTCTGTTTTCCTTGCCGACGCCTGCCGCCAGATGTATCTGGTGTGCGCAGTTTTGGATCGTTGTGGTAGAACCTGGCCCTGAACAGATGGAGGAAGTTGGAAAGCAAAAACATGTACCGATACAATTTTCTTTTCCTTTTGCGAAAAGTTAGTTGAAGACTGCATCCCGAAGTGGTACTTACCGTTCGAGCAACTCATCTCGTTTCCCGGACACTCGGGCTCCTCTAGCTCGCAGGTACGTCTTTAACTGGTTCACCGTCCATTTTTCAAACGACTCGTTGTCCGGAGGCATCACAAACCGAACATTGGGATCTTCAACTTCATTTTCAGGCACAGGACTAGTTTCAACGTTCCCTTCATCGCAACGTACCGCGGCAAGAGAAGAAGGGCTCGGCTCATGGCCCGCTTCATCAGCCATGTTACATGATGTATCAAACTCACTGCAAAGGCCCAGCGAGAAGTAAATCACAACGAGATACTTTCTAAACAAACAGCGGACAGCGATGAAAAAGCGAGAATAAAACAGAAACCCTTCGCTGTCAGTTTTTTCGATCCAGCAGAGCCACTTTTTTCTGGCCACGTGGGCGAGTACACGCCAAAACCGGTGATTGATCGTTGCGGTTCTGGAACAAGAGCTCGCGCTTGAGGAATGCACTGCATGCATCGCGTGCACGGGCCACGCATTCAGTACGCGTGCCATGCCCCGCCAAGTCAGTGCGTGTCTTATTTGGCAAAAGACCTATTCTTTTTCGGTATTTGAAAAAACCCGTTATCGCTAAGATGTCTGTGTAAAGATGCGCATACGGATGGGTGGCCAGGTAGCCATCGTTAAACTTTCTGCACGTAATCATGCCAAAATTACAAAAACATTAAACGTTTTGGTCGTTAGACTTTCCAGTTTTACAGTATATGCCCTGCAGCAGATTGCCAATAATGAAATGATGTTTAGAAGCTTAGAACACGCATAGGCTGGGTATTCTCATGTCGTCGTCGTCGTCGCACCATCAATAGAGTGTCCAGTAGTAACTACAGGTCTGGTTCCTTCTACTCCCTTTCTGTGTGCTAGACGGTTTGTTTGTGTCTAAATGAGGTAGCTTGTTTTCCCCCAGAGCACTATCACAGATTGGCCTGCTCTAGATGTACACCTTCTGCAAGTCGATTCAGTATTTCTCTGAGCAAACCCCACTTAGTGGCGTAGTGAATGTGATTTAGAACCAGAGTGATTTAGAAAGGCATGCGATTGACTCTGCACATTGCTTTTTTCATGTCATGTTTGTTCTCTTATGTTGTCTGATCTACAGGGTAAACAAATGGTGCCACCGCCTTGGTTGATTGCCATGCAGCGCTATGGCCCGCCGCCTACCTACCCAAACTTGAAGATAGCCGGCCTAAATGCTCCTATTCCTGAGGTATGGCAGTGCCACTGCGCTGGGCTTTAAGCCTGATTCATACTCTTCTCGCATACAGGAAACGCATCGCGCAATGGGCCAAACAAGTTGAGGTCAAGTCAACTTTATTCCCGTAGCTATGCAGAAGACGTTACTTCAGTAACGTCTGGCGCTAGCCAGGGTCCACACAGCTTTAATTTGGTGTTTGTTTGTGTGTTTGTTTGTGTCACGCCTGGCGCTATCCGTATCTGACGGCAATAAAGCATAGGATGTTATAAATTTTTCAATTCTCCTTTTTTTCAGGCATATCCTGGGATTCGAACCCGCACTATCGCCCTACATGCATTCCCCCATACACTCACGGCAAGAGTGCATAAACAAGAGTATGCAACTGTGGTTATGGGTCAGTGCGCGGCGCGCTGCCTTCATTACGTAACTTGCCTTCATCACGCTCTGAAAGCATGCATCCAAACTCTCAATTTCTCGCATGAGCCCATCCGTTTTTGCTCGATTCGTTCCAGTACCTACACAATCTCTGAATTCTGGCGCGTGAACTCCAGTTCCGTACGAAAGTTCATTTCAAACTGGAGGGAAAGTGCGGTGTTTGATTTTCCGCAGTGCGCGGACTGCAGCTGAATGATGTAATGAAGGCAGCGCGCCGCGCATCTGGCCCATAGAAAAGAGATCACAGTTGCATACTCTTGTTTATGGACTCTTGCTCACGGCTGTTACGACAGTACAAAACGGGCCCACTTGGTTTTTGTACAGGAGATGGCGCTTCCCGGGACTTTCCCGTTCTCAACGTTCAAAATTTGTACTCAAGGAGGTGTATTTTGAACGCAATCTCTGCTCAGTTGGGTCTCCAAAGCACCACTTCTGATCACCGCGCCGAGCTGTCCTCGCGGCTACAGTTGCGCAACATCCTGACCATGCTTCGCCAAAGAAAAAGTAGTGAATTTGACCTTTCCTTCGCTGAGAAAAGCCATTCTTCATGGAAATTTGTCTCTGAAGTTGTTGCCGTTCGATCGTTCTAGTCACCGAAGTTTGTTGCCTCCTTGAGGTGCTCAACGAGTTTTCGTCACGTCAAGGGTAGTTTTGCCGAGGAGAAGAGTATCTGTGTAGCTGTTTTTTGTTACTGCTGGGGCCCCGCTGATTCCTTGTTGGCCCCGCTGGGTCCAAATCTCTAGCAACATTTAGTGGAAATTGTTATTTATTCAGTGGATTTGAAATGGAAAAACACCAAGAAAAGTTACAGCTGGTATGCAGGTTAGGCGGTGAAAAGTTGTGTAGTACTAGCCGTGGAACTCTGCACCTTGTGAGAGATCATGCGAAAGCCATTGAATCTGTGCTGAGTATTAATGTGTTGTGTGATGACCAAAAAACTCATGCATATGAATATGCATGTAGCTCCAGCCTCATCCAGTCTGCATTTAGACGATGCAACAATTGGCATGGATATTCCCCTGATGAAACTGTACGACATTGCATCACCGCCATACAAAGCAATTGCTCACTTGCTGCCGGAACGCTTTAAATACAGCGTTCGTTGCAGCAGGTGCCAACTTGCAGCACGCACGGCGGTACAACAACGTGATTAGAAAAGCCATTCTTCCTGTTGAGCTGCAAGACGTGTGTATTCCTGTGCTCCACCTAGATCTAGGGATTTATCCCTGGATTTACGGTGCACTTTGTGCTGACGCACATCAAATCGATATTGCACTGAGCAAATGTATGTTTCTTGCTGCAGATGACGGTGACTCTGCAGCGTTTACAGCACTTATCACTGCCTACAAGAACGTACACGACACAGCAACACAACAACTACACCTACAGTCAGAAGCACAAAGCATTCTTAGTCAGCTGCAGTTTGTGACGCTACAAGAACGTACACGACACAGCAACACAATAACTACACCTACAGTCAGAAGCACAAAGCATTCTTAGGCAGCTGCAGTGTGTGACGCTGCACATTCAGCAGCAGGAAGTAGTGGCTGCTGGCTTGCAGACTGTGGCATCAAATCTGCACTTCCTATGGAAGGAGAAAGAAAAGGAACTCAATTTGATGAATGAGAGGTGATGTGGCTCGAAAAGAGCATGAGAAATTAACAGTAAAAGATTTAAAAAAAGCAGCTGGCCCGTGCGTAACTTCCTTGGAAGCAGTACTGCCACAGTACCAAATAAAGCGGCAAGCATATCACTCCGGAGCATTTGTCGGCAACCACATACACCGTGCGTTAAAACCGGATGCCATTGCTGCCCTCACTTCTGTTCCCCTTACAGTCGTGCAGAGCCGCACACCTGCGGACAGCGGCGAGGTTCAGCTGCTTGCCCAGGCAAAGTCCTTGAGAGATCGCTACTCGAGACTCTTCACAGAGTATGCAGCATGTCGCAAGCTGTTCAGCGGCAAGCTGGTTTTTACAACAGCAACAAGGCAGGTTCTGGGTGATGCCATCCACACCTTCATGGCCACCTGCAGAGCGGAGGTTCTGGCACGCAAGTTAGGCAATGTGACTCCTAAGCTTCACCTTCTCGAGTGCCATGTCCTTCCTTGTACAGGGTTGAAATTAATTCTTGCTGATCTGTTCGGCCACACACTCTGAGCTCCTCTGATGAGACCTAACAAGGTTGAAATTAATTCTTGCTGATCTGTTCGGCCACACACTCTGAGCTCCTCTGAGACCTAACAAGGTTGAAATTAATTCTTACTAATCTGTTCGGCCACACACTCGGAGCTCCGCTGATGAGACCTAACAAGGTCGAAATTTATTCTTGCTGATCTGTTCGGCCACACACTCTGAGCTCCCCTGATGAGACCTAACACTGTGACAGGGTTGAAACTAATTCTTGCTGATCTGTTCGGCCACACACTGTGAACTCCGCTGATGAGACCTAACAAGGTCGAAACAGCTATAGCTGTCCGGAGATTGAGTAAACTTGACAAAAAGTTCTCCTCCGATCCGAGGCGCAGGTCGTCATTTTGCGAAAGAGTCCTGCGAAGCACATCTCCTTTATCTGCTACTGAGCGGTATCCGTTGCACTTCGCGGAGCACAGCTGCCTCCAACAACATTTTTTGACGAGCAAGAGACTGAAGAGACGAAATCCATAAAAGTACTATTTCAAGTATTCGAAGTGACAGAACCTTTTCTTTCTGCAGAAATGATCTTGAAAATTTGAAAAATGCGATGAGCGTACCCACGCTTTCCGTGTGACCTCTGTTGCCAGGGGCGTTGCTACAGGTCGCCGCCATCTTGCCAAGTGACCTCCCCGTAACAGCCGTGATACTTCGCATTCATACCCATTCTTCCAAGTTGCTTTACGTTATTATCTTGCGTTTGAAAGCCCTATTTGAATATTGCGGGCAGCTGTATGTGGCCAGCTGTGTTTGATGGTACGGTACGGTACGGTACGGGAGACGGTGTCGTATTACCCTCGATCGTACCTGTCCCGTACCTATCCCCTACCGTACCGTGCCATCAAAGACGGCTGGCCACAATGCATATTCAAATAGGGCTTCCGAATGCAAGATCACAATGTGAAACAACTTGGAAGAATTAGTATGTATGCTGTACGAAGTGTATCGGGGGATGCATGCAGGGCGCGCGATAGTGCGGGTTCGAATCCCAGGTTATGTCTTAAAAAAAGGAATTTTTTAAAGAATTTATAACATCCCTATGCTTTTTTTTTGTCTAGGTCATCAAGGCAAAAAAGCATAGCGTAGGGCCCCGAGCTTCCAAGCTCTCTCGTTTCTGTGCGATGTGGCACGTTTCCCGTACTTGAAATTGAGTATGAATCAGCTGGATTCTTCATTCTCCTGTATTCACTGGAACACTTACATGAACAGCTATTATTATCGTATTTTGCCGAGTGTCTCTTGCCCTGCTTCAGACTGAGTGTCTCTTGCCCTGCTTCAGACTGAGTGCGTGTGAGAAATTGCTTGTACAAGTAGTCCGGGTGGTAATTGCTTCTTTTCTGCTGCTGCTTCTCTTGGTGTTCTTCTTGTAGAGCTGTTCGTTTGGCTATCATGCTGGTGGTTGGGGCAAACCTCCAGTAGATGAGGGTGGCAAGCCTCTGTATGGTGACGTGTTTGGAACAGCAGCATCAGCAATATTGGTAAGAGGATTCGTATTCACAGTAGCTCCCATAAGGACATACTATTGTAGTACAGTCGTCCCTCTCTAATCCGGCACTTGTTTATCCGGAACCCTTGCCAACCGGCGCACTTTCTGACGAAACCGATTTTTTTCGTTCAATTCCTACATCTTAATCCGGCACTTGAATTCCGCCTCCGGCAGTGACTTTTTGAAACGAATCGCTCAAACTGCACGTAGTTTGATTTCATAATCCGGCAGTCGTAAATCGCGTACCGTACAGGTGCACTCCTTGCCAGGCCAGGCTAGGCCAGTCTGGTCAGTGCCGCGCGCGCGGGGCCACTTCAGAGTTCAGTTCAGTTGACAACTGTACTCGACCTCGCGCGGTAGAGTTCAGTTCGGTTGGTTGTTAGGACTTTTCCGAACCCTAACTCAATTTATACAAAGAGAAAGACCAAGGAACTACAACTAGTACAAGTTACGCTATACTGTTCACTAACACCACCAGATACTAAACAATCAGCTCATGCGATAACATTGCACAACACTGACCGACGGCACTGACGTTCTAAAACTAACTACAGTCAACCATACTAAGCAGTCAACCATACTTTCTTATTTTAGCAAGGAGTAGTGTCCTGCCAAATTTCAGGTGTGTGTGCGTGTGTGTGCAAGAGTACAATGTGAACATGTTCTCTGTTTTACTTTATCACTTTATCACTGTGTATATTCCTGGAGAACAGTTGAGAATATAAAGCCGTGCACCAAATACTTGGGTCGACACAGAAAAACCCTGCGTTTTGACGTATGATACATGCATGCAATTGGGTGGGGCCGGGTCAGAGGGCAGGATTTCTTAATCCAGCACCCTCGTTAATCCAGCAGAAAACGCCGTAGCAAAAGGTGCCGGATTAGAGAGGGACGACTGTATATGCATACCGCTCTTACAATAACTTGCTCGAGTGTTCTAATATTTTGTTGGTGTTCCAAGCATTTCTAGGAAGATCTTTCTCCGCCTGCTTTGCAAATAATGCCAAATATGGCACTTACCCTGAAACTCAGTGATTTCGAATGTTCTAAGGGATTCAGAAGAACGAGATTGTACGTTTGTGAGCAGTAGAAGTTGGTGGAAGTTGGAATGGTAATCTCTATATTTGGGTCATTCGCTTTCTACGAAAGTTCATTATTGTAGAGTGATTGTCATCTGAAGCACTCCACGCTGCCTTGACAACCTTCAAGCTCCTCTTTTGCGGGGGGGGGGGGGGGGGTTGTGGCAAGGTTGCTATCATTATGAATGATGATTGAATATGTTTGTGTACCTGTGTACATGTGTGTGTGTGTGTGTTTATTTGTTTCTACATTAGCAATACGGTGGTGATGAGAACATAGACATGAGTACGTGGGGAGAGCTGGAGTCCGAATCAGAGGAAGAATCGTCATCAGAGGTGAGCCGTTACCGCTACGTTGCGTCCTCTGCTTTTACTGGCACAGTGGTGCTTATGTTGGTGTAGCAGAAGTGAACAAGAAAGGGTTACTGTATTTCCCCACCTTTTTACACTAAACTTCGGCGGCAACTTACAATCGGGTGTGACATCCTACGTATGTGAATGTAAACAATGTGGCTGTAACCTGAAACTGGGGATGCGACTTATAATCAAGTACGACTTAAAATCAGGGAAATATGTTATGTTCCAATCCTGTCTGAATCTGCAACTTTGTTTGTACCAGTGTCAGTCTCACCATCATGTTCGCGCTGTTGTTGTTGGGTTTTCAGGAGGAGTCCAGTGATGAAGATGACGAGGAGGGACCGGACGACACGGGACTTGTCACACCCCTGGAAGGGTAAATCATCTTAGTCACCCCATACTGGCCATAGTGATAATGATGATGATGATGATGATAATGTCTTGACAAAGACATTCCTATACTTCACCTCCAATTTATAACACAAAGTTCGCAAGAAGACACAACGCGAACACAACACAAAGTTCTTAAAAAGACATTCCTACACATAACATACATTTGTGTTGATGGATCTTCTCTTTCTTGCAAAGTCTGGAGCCGAGCCTTTTCATTTCAAGTTGACTTAGTTGAGCATCTTCACTGACAGCTGCATGTCATGCATATTGTACTTCATGAACACGATTGGACTGGACCTTTGTTGTTACGAAACAGGGCCCTCATCGTATACTATGTTTACTCTTCTTCTCATTCAGCCTTGCTACTCCAAGTGGTCTTACATCAATCCCTGCTGGCTTGGAGACTCCGGAGCTGATCGAACTGCGTAAGCAGACCGCTGTGGAGCCGACAGAGGAGGTTCTAGAAGGCGAGGACACTCCATCACTTTACGAGGTCTTGCCCGAGAAGGGTGCCAATGTTGGAGGCGCTATGATGGGTTCGCAGCACGTGTATGACATTGGGGTAAGTTTAGAACGCAAAACCTAGACCTCCTAATCACAGACACCCAGAATGCACCTGGCTTGAGCTTTCCGGTGCAAAACAAGATAAGTATATCTTATCGATTTTGGGTATTTGTCGAAAAACCAATTCCGTGAAAAGGCCTATGCATCTGATGAAACAGCTTTTGTTTTGCTGTTTGGTCTGTATGCTGTATGAATTTTCGTTTGCATGTGTTTTGTGGTATCCTTTGCAGCCCAACACTGTTGATGACACGCAGAAAAGGGTAAGTGCATGACATTGTGCAGGAAGTCATGAGTAAGACAATGTAGGTGACGATTGGGGGGGGGAGGGGGGGGGGGGCTGCATGGCCCCCCTGTGCCCGATGCCCCCAGCACCTTAATTAACCCAAGGTGGTGTATTCTGCGTCCTTCCAGAACGGCGTACTTTAGATCGCCGCTGCCACTTCCACAGGTTGTGCGCGCGTGTGCGTGTTTGCGTGTGCGTGTGTGTGCTTACGTCACTATATGTGTGCTTGTGTGTGCTTGTGTGTGCATGTGTGTGCTTGTGTGTGCTTACGTCACTATACGTGTGCTTGTGTGTGCATGTGTCTCATACATACAGTATGTATGCTGGTATTGTTCTTGTGAGCAAGAAGAAAGAGCAGTGCCGTATATAATTATCGATTCATCACCGATTCGGCGAAAACTTAGCGGTGGCTTCTGCCCCTTTAATATCTCCCCCCCCCCCCCCCCCCTCCCCCACCAGTCCAATGCTCCTGACTTGTACCATCCCCAGACTAACCATGATGATGCTAAGGGTGGTTCTGTATCCACATCATCTCATCTTAGTTTTGTGATTGGAAGCCGACACGAATAACTTACGCTTTCTGTTTGCGTGCGTGTGTGTGTGTGCATGTTGTGAACATGTTTTGGGTCTTGTAGCCACAGCAAGTGAAACGCAAGAAGCCAGTCGACTCATCCAAAGGAGCCAAGAAGTACAAGGAATTCAAATTCTGAGATTATTGTTCTTGCCATCGCGTTTCGACAATGTTTTTTTTTTAATTTCATAGTTTCCTTTTCAGCATAGTTCTTTATCTTGCCGTTGCAAGTTCTTCATTTAGCTCATACCCAATGCCCTGTGGAGACATACAAACCTGCAATGTATGTGAAATGCAGCTCATAAAACTACCATGCATGGCTATCAAAAGTACGTTTCTACCGTCATAAATTTACCATGCCACTGAGTAAAGCATATTACCCCCCCCCCCCCTTCACTCACAGGCGTATTCTCCAAGTATGAAACACATTGTCCCAGTATGGGACTCAACACTGCTGGACCTGCTGAGCCGCTTCCACACAGCCACCATACTGCTTATTGATTATGTCTTTGAAGTTTGAACCTATGTCCCGGTTGTGAGTGAGTGGTCTGGTTTTGTAACAACTTGAAATTTAATGAACTGCTCTCAGTTCTCTGTCTTCTTTCTGTCGGCGGCTGCTGCACAAAAATATTATCAGTTGGCTATAGCCGGCTTGGAACTTGCCCGAAGTCATCGCTTCGGTGTCAACATCTCGTGAAGAGTTTTTTAGTCTGTATTCTGTGTTGTTCCATGAACAGGTTATACTCGGTGTCTCTCAGTGTCTCTGTATTAAACTGAGACTACATCATACTGAGTATAATACGTATAGATTATAGACCGGTTAGGAGGTCTATACAGGATATATAGACCGAGTAAAAGACCGAGGTCCCCCGAGGTCTTTTACGAGGTCTATATATCCTGTATAGACCAACTATGAGGTCTATAATCTATTTATCGTGTTCTCCACGCAATAGTTTCTCTTCATATACGACATATCCTTGTAATTCTAGTATTATACTATAGCCTATACCGCATTGTACTGCATTGAAAGTCAAGATCATTGTTTAAACTAGGTTCAGCATCGGTAGCACAGTGGCTGGGTGGTAAGGAAGAGTGACTGAGATTCACAAGGTTGTGGGTTCAAATCCCATCTTGTGTATTTCTGCTTTCTTCTAAAATTTCTTTTTCTAAGTTGGAGAGAAAATTTCTAAGTCCAAGAAGTTCTAAGGAGTCAAATATAAGTAGTCAAATATATCGTGTATTTGACTAAGCAGTCAAATACGCGATATATTTGACCGCTTAGGTATCAGGGAAATTAGTGGGGTCAAATACTAAGAAGGCGATAATGTGTATTATAGTCTACAGTGCCAGTGGTCCCCAGGGAGCGCGAGGGAGTACTCCCTGGTGGTCCCTATTCCTGATACAGTACTGCTCCAATGGCCAATGGATATGTGCATGAATAAGAGGACTTTTTCATTTTGGCGACGAAGGGAGTCGTATTTATACGACTCCTGGATACCTGCCCCTGGCTTGCTGTCACCTGACCCGTGTCGCGTGACAGTTTTGAAACTTTTGTGGCGATGACAGAGATTTCGTGCAAAAAAGAGGAGTAGTGAAATATTTTTACCAGTGTTTACAATTACTGCTCCCTGGCAATTAGCTGTGTTGAATAATTGTCTTTGGAAGTTTTCACCTAGCTGCAATACTACTGGGTATTGGTATGATGGACTCCTGCTGAACTCGAAGGAATGTCACGTCTTCTTCTGCAGGGTGTGAAATCACCCCTACTCGCAGGTATACTCCCAATCTCAGATCATTTTTCGAAAGTCACCGTTTGAGTAATTTCAGTCGCAACCCTGAAAATCGTGTTTCTCTATTGTTGCTGTGCTTCGTGCTCATTCCTGTCTACTCTGCAGTCGAATGTCAAAGATATATTCATACTTCAGCAAATAGTCTTGCTGGTGGGGATTTCAGAAAGCGGTAAGCTCTTTTACGTTCGTTCACATTCTAGCAGTGTTCATTTGTATTTGGGCTGGGTGTGGGAATTCAGGGAGAAGCAATACAATAAGTTTATTTGGGGGCCTGCTTCTACCTCGTCCAGAGCTGTCATGGTATTGTATTGTAGTGGTGAAGTACTGTGCATTTTCACACCGGTTGAGTCCACTGCTACGATGTAACATGCTACCAAGTTAATCAATTATTGATTGACTACTCTCAGTACGTTACATATGTAGCTTCACGAAATGCTTGTGCTGAGTGTGTGATCGTGAAACATCATGTACTTGTTAGGCAGTTGCACGGAGATGGGAAGTATGGATATGTCTGTATTTTTACTTACCGTACGTGTATGTGTGTGTGCGTGTGTGTATGCGTATGGCTGTGGCAATGCTGTTTGATTTGTAGAATTGGCCTGCCTGCCGATAGTGTGTCTTACGGTCCACTGTGTGATATTCCAGACTGGTCATACGCAGGTATAGTTTGTGTGTGTGTGTGTGTGTGTGTGTGTGTGTGTTTTCGTGTGTGCGCGCATGCTCGTGAGTGTATGTGTGTGTGTGTGGGGGGGGGGGGGGGTGCACATGTGTCAGTATGTATGTGCGTGCATGTGCGCATCTGTGTGTGGAGGCACATAGTACGGATATATCCGTACCAGTGTACAGTGCATACTTTTCAAAGCGCAACCTGGCGTAACTTGGCCGTCCCTTGACCAAATCGAACAATCGAAAGGGCTATCGACATTAAAATTGTCTCAGCTATCGGCTCGAAAAAACCCGAAAGCGATCCGAGTTCGGAGAACGGAGATACGAGACTCGAACTAAATTCGCTCAGCAGAGTCAGCTCGAGCGCGTGCATTTTGAACTCGTTTTTAGGGGTTTTCCCTGACTCGCGGCCCACGCAGCTACAGATAGTTCACGTCATCGCAAAGGCATGTTTCTCAGCTCTCCAGTAAAAAAATTTGAGTGATCTGCGATGCAATTTGTTAAAATGGCAGAGAATTTGAGTTGGGCGCTCGCAATGCTGGCTTTGGAGCGCCGTATCGCGCTGCGGCGCTGGTTCTGTGGATCGAGTGATGTATTGCTGGCTATCGCTGTGTTCCTCTGGCCAAGAGCTTTCCAGAAAGCCCAAGATCACCAAAATCGGCCAAAGGACACCAAAGTTACGACCAGATAAGTACCTGGGCTCGCGTATGCAGTACATTTCTTGAAATAATTGTGGGCCCTAAAGGGTTAATATGTATAGATTATAGACCGGTTAGGAGGTCTATACAGGATATATAGACCGAGTAAAAGACCGAGGTCCCCCGAGGTCTTTTACGAGGTCTATATATCCTGTATAGACCAACTATGAGGTCTATAATCTATTTATCGTGTTCTCCACGCAATAGTTTCTCTTCATATACGACATATCCTTGTAATTCTAGTATTATACTATAGCCTATACCGCATTGTACTGCATTGAAAGTCAAGATCATTGTTTAAACTAGGTTCAGCATCGGTAGCACAGTGGCTGGGTGGTAAGGAAGAGTGACTGAGATTCACAAGGTTGTGGGTTCAAATCCCATCTTGTGTATTTCTGCTTTCTTCTAAAATTTCTTTTTCTAAGTTGGAGAGAAAATTTCTAAGTCCAAGAAGTTCTAAGGAGTCAAATATAAGTAGTCAAATATATCGTGTATTTGACTAAGCAGTCAAATACGCGATATATTTGACCGCTTAGGTATCAGGGAAATTAGTGGGGTCAAATACTAAGAAGGCGATAAGGTATTCTATTTGCTGGACTTGAGTGTTCCTGTTGCATGTGCAGAAAAGCTGGCATTACCGGTATAGTGACACTGTGTTTCCCATGGGGCATGCACTGTTCACGCTTAAAAGTGGGGTAATCTGTGCTGGTGGAGAACTCAAATGCAGTACACGTGGACTGTAATGCCTCAAGTAACTACTTGTCTCCAGTGTGAAACCCCTCTATGGTTTTGAGTGAGGAAAAGGGAGTATAATCTATTGCATACTCCTCTTCCACTATCCTGTGTTTTGTGCGAGGGAGCTGATCATATCACTGTCTCACTTTTACTTGCTGTACGAGGGAGCTGATCATATCATTCTCTTGCTGTTACTTGCTTTGTTGAACTTAAGACAAGAATGAGCCGACACCGCTTAGTTCCAATGCTGTCTTCCGTGACAACAGGCGGCGCTTTATCGCGGTAAGCTGCTCGGGCTGCTGCCTATGACATTGTGTACTTCTGAAGGTGCAATAAGCCATGTTGCACCTTCATTTACTGTGTTTGCTGTTCAGAGTAATGCCTTACATGTATGTATACAGGCCATTTTAGTCCTCTCATAAAAAAAACGTCATCATATTAAATCTTCCTTGGGTCATAATGGGTCAAACCTTGAGTAAAAAAGTGCTTGCCCTCCCCTTTGGAATGCTCTTCCCCTTATGTTTCTGAAGTCTATTTCTCCAAAATGTAAGCGGACCATGGATAGGATTCCGGCCAGGTTTTGCCCCAAAAGCACTGAATTAGGAAAACCTTGAAAATCCTGGCCTTTTGACTCCACTTCCAACAGTACATTATGCGGTTCGAACCCCGTTTGAGGTAACCTTTTTAACTCGTTTTTAACCAGTGCATGCATGAGTCTCCCGTTTGAAGAATTGTGAAAGGTAACGGTCACCTTCTTCGTGTTTCCTTCTGGTAGTTTACTCCGGGGATTGCTGTTCACATCATGTTTTGATACATTTACAGGCCCTGTCATGCATCACATGCCATGTTTACTGGCGTAAGCATGAATTGGCTGGCGGTGTGTACTTGCTTAGATGCATGCATAGTCAAGACATTCAAGAATATTTCCCATCAAAATATAATTCCACCAGTTAGGGGTGTGCAGAATAGCCCTAGTGCAGATCAGCAGCTGCCGGCATAATAACAGAAGTGAAAATAAGGATAGGGCTGATAAAGTGAAAATAAGGATAGGGCTGATAAAACGAAAGGTCCATGCATGTGATAAGACAGAAAAAAGAAGGGAGCGAGGAAGAAAGAGAAAGCATTGGAGAGATAGATCGTAGTGAAAGAGAGAGGTGCAAAACACCAACTGAGAGAGAGAGAGAGAGAGAGAGAGAGAGAGAGAGAGAGAGAGAGAGAGAGAGAGAGAGAGAGAGAGAGAGAGAGAGAGAGAGAGAGAGAGAGAGATGAACAGAAAGAGAAAGTGATAGAGATAGAGACATTCTGATGACGTTTGAGGTCGCCACTTCTGCGGAACAACTGTCCGCATGCACAGCTAAACGGCTTGGCGGGTGGAGGAGCCGGAGGAGGGAGCGGTCCCCAGAGATCTTCCGTCGCCAAGCTGGACGATCCTGTGCCATGGCTAACCACTGCTGTTCAAGAATGTCCGCGGCATGCAAGTCGTCAACAATGACATCTCGTCAGCGCTTCTTGGGATCATGGCGTGGTCGAGTTGGCGACTATTCTCCGAAGAGAACTTGCTGAGGCATCCGCTCCGGAGTCCGGGCTCATACGTGCAGCGTGTTTCTTGCCTTGTTCTTGGCTGGAAGTTGTAAGTTCAGTGTTTGAGGTAAGCAGCAGCGGGCTTGCCCGCAAATAAGGCTGTGAACTGTCGTGTGAACACACACGCACACACGCACATCTTGTTCATTTTCCTTCCCTTCCCTACCCTTCTTCATCATCAGCCTAAGTATCAATATGATAACAAATGCAACCTGTACGATGAACGTTTTTCCACTGTCAGCGTCAGCTTTGGAGCCAAAGTCATTTACTTACTCATCACTGGTGTCATTTCCGAGGTGGATAATGATGGGACTGAGCATCTCTTCCTGGATGCCATCAGCGATGAAGGCCTCATCCACCTTTCCAGCACAGTGACGGCATGCGTTTGGCCACAGTGTTGCTGTCGCGCCGTTGAAAGACGTGCTGCTTTACGTCAGTGTATCTTGAGCATCTTGTTGTGTTTGGCAACCTCCTGCTTCACCCACGCTCGTACCAGTTTGATTGGGTTGAAAACACAACAGTAGGTAGGCAGGCAGGCAGCCGAACACCCTCCTACGCCGCTGCAATCTCATCACGGACGTATGTTGACTTGGTCTTGGGCTTGTTAGCCCTGACCGACTCGAAGAGCTCCAGTTTTTTCAGCACACTCGCCGTCCAAAGGATGTTGCGTTTCGATAGTCAGGTCTGGATTTCCGAGATGACGCCGCGTACTGTAGCGCGTTATCCATAGCAGTAACAGCACCTGGTGGAAGGTTCGGCAGAAGCTGTTCCGCCCATCATTCGGTGAAATGCTGAGCATTCATTTCATCATGATAGTCGTGGGATTTGGTGTTGCCCACAGACACCAACTGGCAGTTTGGCACGAATCCATCCTTTGAACCAGCATGCAGGATGATGAGGCGCTGTCCCTTTCCAGAAGGAGCTTCAGAGGGTTGCTGAGTACCAACAGGAACACCACTATCATACCGTTTTCTGAACACAGTATGATGGGTGTTGACCCATGTTTCATCAAGCTAAACGATGGGTCTGCCAGCTCCCTGTGCCTTGATCTCCCTTAGGTAGAGACACAGCCACGTGACGATGTCATTGCGCTCCATCAGCAGCATTGTGTTGCCCTCTGTCTTGCTATAGCGGAATCCAATAGAATGCAATGTTTTCCAGAAGGTGGTGCGTGCCATATCTGCAAACTGTTTTATGTCCTACTTGCCGAGGGCCAACACTTTGTCGACGGTGGAGAGCTCTTTCTTCAAATGGACAACGTGAACCTTACTTCTGATGGGACCTCTAGGAAAGCTGTCAACAATAACTTGTCGGCGACCTTGAGTCTCACAATCTCCACCAGAAGCTAGGTCGTCCTGCGGCTATGCAGCGCAGTCAGCTACATGACACAAAGCAATAGCAGCAGCACCTATCCTGCTGATGGTTGTTGTTGCCACACCGTCCTCCTCACCTCACGCTCGAGATATGGACAAAAAATGTCAAGGCCCTTCCAAGGCCCATTTCCCCATCATTTTTCACTCATCCCCCCCCCCCCCCCCCCCCCCCACACACACACACAACACGATCATTACCATACGTTACTCATCCTGGAGTGTGTTCGCATAAGCATGACCAACAAAGTTGGAAGTGACATAGCGAGTCACGACTCTGCCGTCGTCCCAAATACGCACTAAAATATCCATCTGCTTCAACTGAACAACATCGTTCAGCTTTCGTCGAACATGACGACATAGTCGTTCGACGTCTTGATCTGAAAGTTTCACGAACAGAAAATAGATACAACACGAACGATTGATTCGGAAATACATGTACAGTACTGGCGACGCCACGACAAAGAAACTCACCTTCGACGTGAGAAGAGTCTGCAGGTACGGAGCGATTCCGTACGTGGCAATGTAATTGACCTTCTGCTCGCCGCAGCGAAACTTCTTTGCGATGGCCGAGTCCGGAAACATCTCTGCAAACAAGGCGCTCATTCCTTGCGAACTTCGGAACGAGAAGTTTTTGGCAATGACAGTCAGAGCCCAGAGGACCTCAGCTTTCAGCGTCTCCCTAGTGCTGACGAATTGCACCAACGTTGAACTTGGAGCAACTGATTCTGCAGCAGCTGCAGTAGACGACGGCGACGACGGCTGCTGGGGCAGGAACGATCTCATGCCAACTGATGAGCTGGCACAGGAACGCATCTCACGATGTTTTTTCCCGTCAGCATGGCTGCTAAGGGCAGCTTCGCCCATGGCGGCGACTGAGAAAGTCGTTCTGCACAGCTTACACCGAGCACGGTGTTTATCCGAATCGCCGGCCAGCCATGACTTGTACTTCTGCTCCTCGAGCCACTTCGCTTGAAACGAGCACTTGCCCATTTTCTTCGTGTCACAGGAAACAAAACAAAAGTGATTGATGGAAGCCCAAGTCGAGCAAAAGCTGTTTTCAATGTTCGACAAGCGCGACGTCAACGGAAAAAAGTAACCGTTTTTAGAAGGCTAATGCCGCGGTCACACACAGCTACGGCGGAGGTGGAAGTCCCGCCAAAGACATGTGTGACCGCGGTCTGAGGTGTCATTTTTGAACAAAAACCGTTTTTCAAGGCTTTTCAAGGCCTTTCTGCGCTTTTTTCCAAAATTCAAGAACTATTCAAGGGCCTTGAAGGATTTTTCAAAATTCAAGCACTTTCAAGGCGTTCAAGGCCCTGTGCGAACCATGCGTTTCTCATGCCCCTCCATTTCAAAGAAATCGAGAAAGCGCAACACTATGGAGTCTGGACCTCTCCCCAGGAGAATAATCTTTCCTGCCTGGCATGGCGACGTTAGGAAACAAACGCGGAGGAAGAGCATCGGCATTCAGTCACAGCAGAAGCAGCAAAGAAACAACACGTCGTCTTGTCAACATGCATGCTTCAGTTTCCTGCACACGCTCCACGAAATGCTGGCTTCCGGTTCTTCAACAACATTCTGAAATTTTTCACAAGTATTAAATCTTTCGTGCCTTCTCTTTAGGTGATGTACAGGCAAGAGGAAACTGCACGATTTCAGGATGTTATTGAATAACCTCAAGTGTCTGCTGCTCCTACTAAGTGTTATACAGTCGTCCCTCTCTGATCCAGCACTTGATAATCCAGCACCCTCGATAACCAGCACGATTTTCAGTAGCCAAAATGTCCTCTTCATGCACATTGCAGCAGTCAATCAGATTTGTTAATCCAGCACCCTCCCTAATCCAGCAGATTTTCCGTGGCACAAATGGTGCCGGTTTATAGAGGGACCACTGTAGCTGTTTTGTCTCCGAGGAAACTTTTACCTGTTTCTAATTTCGTGACACTGCACCGTGTGCGATAGCCGAAAATCACCAAATACGGAAGCTCACCAGAGCCAGAGGTCATCCTTTGATGAATGGACTGTAGGGTATTGTGTAGTACCAGGGTGTTGGGGACTGTAGGTCTTCCAACTGCTCGCTGCCATAGTCTGTGCATGTTGATTTGTACATGACTTGTGTTGGTGTGGTTGTTTGTCCTGGTTAAGTCTAACATTCATCAGTCTTTGTCCGTTGTGTGTTCACTCTCTGCCTTGTGTTCAGTCAATGGTGGAAATGGCCGTGAATGAGATGATGATTGGAAAGTATCAACATGCCCTGAGTATGCAGCTGCGGCCGCATGAACTCACCATGCATCCAAAGAGACTCGAAGCCAACATCGAACGCTCCAGGGATGTACCCATTCTCAGTGCCACCGCAGGTAAGTGAATCGATGACCCGATATTTGGGTATGCAGGGTCCTCAAGAAGTGTTTTTATATCCAATGCCAGGAGAAAAGTGTTATTATTATTATTATTATTACCAGGTTCAAGTCCTGCTTGGAAGCGGAAGGAATTTTTCCAGCCGTGCTGCGACCCACAGTTAATTGGGAACTCGTGGCCTGGCACGAGGGTAACATGGATGCAGCTAATGGGATTTCGGTCTTTGACACTTGGTGGTGGGTCTGATCTACTCACCTCCCACCGTTTAGGCGCTGCATCTGCGCCTTTGATCCTAGAGGGTGGTGGCGTTCCCATGGCGGATGCGGAAAACTCGGCTTCAGCCGAGTCTCACGCGAACCGTGAAATTAAAAAAAAAAATTATGCACTTACGCGTCAATGTCAGCGGTGGAAAACCGCCCACAAATTCGCACGTGCTGAATGGACTTGGGAATTGGGAAATGAAAAATAAAAATAAAAAGAGCAACGACAACAGAAATAGAAATACAATACAAGACGTACCTGCTAGGAGAAAAGTATACTAGTAGCATTTATTCATAGAGGTCTTGCAGTATGTTACATCTGATTCTAGGCGGAGCGTGTATAAACGAGGCTTTCGGTCTAAGTGGAGGGTGCATGAACTAGGTCTTCAGTCAATCAGGAAGTCCTGCAAGACCACTATGGTCGTGTCTCGGCTGTTCTGCCTACCCATACGGGTGGCGGTCGGGAACGTGGTGCACTCAGGCGTATAAGGTCCAGATTGTTTTGTTCCCAAGCTTCAACACGAGTCAGTTTCCAAACTCAGCCGAAGACTTGAACACGGGTCGTCCCCTTTTAAAAGTCCGTTTTGCCGCAATTTATTACAATCGCGTTTTCTCGTTTTCACTATAGTGAAGTGAAATGCGTACGCTTCAGCTTGACATGAATATTACCGTAAAGTACCGCCAGAGCGCCCCGTCTCGCCAGAGCGCCCCACCTTGATTTTACAGCCAGAGAAAGGAAAATCGTATGGCAGAGTGCAACGAAGTTTGTACGATGTAAGAATCTTAGTGTACTAAGGTCACACTTGGCAGGTTTTGTGTGGAGCTTGTGTTCGCTCGAAGGTACGGATTGACTGCAAAACGTGCTATATGTGTACAAGGTTCATGTCGTATGACCTACAAACAGCAGACCACCTCCACAATACGACCACGAAAGGATGAGATGGTGGGGCGCTCTGGCGGTACTTTACGGTACTAGCTTCAGGCTTGCCTGTACAATTCGGCACAGCTGCCCTAGGCCAGCTCAGGTTTTTGGTGGAAAATCCATTGCGGTGTGTCCGTGTTTGTTTTGTTGTGAGCAAAACGTTTCAATGATCTCAGGATGACGACCCCTTGCCCCCCTTCTCAGCCCACCGCAGCCAGCCGCTACTGTAGGAACCTGATGCAGGTGCAGTTGACTACACTAACCCACATGAATATGTGCGTACGTGCGTGTGTATAATTTGCAGAGGACATTCCACAGCCGCCGAATGTGGACAGGGACGAAGGCAAGCCTATCTTGTATACACTGCAGGAGGGCAGAGCGGCAGCCAATCGCCGTGCCAGAAGCAGCAAGCTGGCCATGTTTGAAGTCATGAGCCAAGACGCAATCAAGAAGCAGCTCGAGTCAACGTGATGATGTTAGTAGTTTAAGATAGAGCAATGACCTGTGAGCTTCCTGCCGCTTCGTGCCTAGCATGCATTGCCTGTACACGCAATTCAAACGATACGAGTACACGCACACAGTCCATGTGATGTACATGACGATCATGCATGGTGTATCACTGCATCCGCTCGCTGGGTCCAGCAGCCACAGTAATCACAGCAGCGTGCTACAGCAGTGGGCATCTCGCATCATGACATGCGTGACACCCTAACTCTCGCCCTTATTTACCTGTGTGGGTGTCAAACTTGACATCCTTTTTTGGGCAATTTGCGAAATTATGAATTACAGTTGTACTGCAGTAAAACCTGTCAAGTTGACCCCTGTGATAAAGCAACCACCTCTCCCGGAGGACCACTACAACTGCCCTGGATATGGTGACCATCTGCACATGGCAAGTTGGCTTGAGTGGTCGTCTTTAAAAGACAGGTTTCACCATAGTGGTTGCTATGTGCAAGTGGTATCCAGCAAGAATGCATGAACTTCGGTGAATTGAGCCAATGCTGTGTGCTAGGCGTGCTGTGCTGCCCTGGACATCCTGTGAAATAAAGAAAACAAACACTTGAATGAGTATGGTCAGTGAAAACCGCAGTGAAGACGGAAAGGCAAAAAAACCACAATGATAACTCCCTCGCTGCTCGACCGGTTTGGTCTACCCATGTGGCCCTGTACCTACCTCGCCCAATGGCTAGTGCTCAAACAGTTGGGCGAGGTAGGTACAGGGCCACATGGGTAGACCAAACCGGTCGAGCAGCGAGGGAGTTATCATTGCGGGTTTTTTGCCTTTCCACGAGAAATTAGCATGTCTACCAGTGCGGGAAGGGTCAGAAGAAAAACCTGGCAAACCTGGTAAGCTCGAGGGAACAGAGAACAATTGGCCTGACAGATCAACATGGCAAGCCGGAGCTGAGCACAAGAACACACACACCTGTAAGCCTGACAGATCAACATGGCCAGCCGGAGCTGAGCTCAAGAACACTCACACACCTGTAGCACCAGGACAACACTCACATGATGGACTATTCACAGCAGACAGTGCCCTTTCAACCCATGCACGAGCGCATGCACGCACACACACACACACACACCCTTGAATCTTGAAACTGCCACCTAAAGGCGATGCAGTGCCTCAAAGAGGCAAATAGGATGCAGTGCCTCAAAGAGGCAAATAGGGCAAGGGCAGGGTACTTCTTGAATTTGTGTTGAGCCAGATACTGGGGACATGTAACTTCCGAGAGCAGGTCCGGCATGGGACGGTGCGGCACTCGGAGCCAGTCCAAGGACATTGCAATGCAACAAAGTACAGGCTAGCCATGCCTAATAATAATAATAATAAACACAGCTCGCATCTTCCCTGAACCTGTTAGACAGGAGCAGAGTCGACGCACCTGTCAACAGTGTCAAGCCAAGTTAGTCTATCTCCTGCAGCTTGGAGAGCCATGCCTAGTACAGGTCCTCCCTCGTTAGTAGATAATCTCTGGGCCATCGAAAAAGTTATCTTATAACGAGACTTATCTTGTAGCAGGACTTGCAGCTAAAGGTAAAATAGGCACTACTTCGTACTTACCGGGGCTACCCTCGATACAACATAAATTTTCGATGCTTCAACTCGTTATAAGATAATTGAATATCTCCAACGTAACCCTTCCTTGGATCCAAAGGATCTTCCATATTCACGAATACATAGACATACTACGTTTCCTCTTTCTGCTTTATCCTACGTGTTTTGGCCTTGGTCCTGCATGGTCAATATTATTTTATACTGAGGGTTTGGCACTCCTGGGACCTGGGCAAAGGGTCGTTATACCGGATTTTATGTACTAACGGATTATGTTGTAACCGGACCTGTAAACAGTTGTATAGACCACATTTCGCCACGGGATTTCAGATTTCTATTTACTAACGGGGTTTATGTACTAACCGGACTCGTTGTAACAAGGGAGGACCTGTACTACATATAATTATGTCATGTAGTATTGGCATAGTGCAATGTCACAGCAGAGCATAGCCCGGTGATCATACCACTACCTGGCACTTGATACTACCAGTACAGTCTATGTGTAGAACATACATGTGCATAGAGAAATGTCCAAGGTCAAGCAGAACTGCATACCCGGACCAATGCCAACATATTTTATCAGAGGGGAAGTCCGCTGGAAAATGAAAAAAAAACTCAGGATCCGTAGAGATGGGGGGTACTGACTCATGTGGCCTTTCGTGCAGAATGGTAAGATATTCCCAATCAAATATCGCGTACAGGAGCCAGGCGTACATCGTGAAGCGGGAGGATTCACTGGAGTGGCAAACCAGCTAAACATATCTCGGTGCTGCGGCTTTGCTACTCCATACAGATCATTCCAACTGATGGTGTTACTGTACAGGGGCATACTCGAAGGGCTTGGGAACCGGTACGACCAAAGGACGGAGCAGCGAGCTGTGGGGGGGGGGGGGGTCCGGGGGTCCTCCCGGGGGAAATTTTGTAAAAAAAAAAAAGACAATCCTGTGTTCTGGGTACTTCTGGCACATTTTTTACTAATTTTTAGTCATAGAATTTTATGGTTCACGTGCAGAAAACTAAGTTGCCATGAACCCAGTGTGCCTAATGGCCGTGTTGAGTCAGGTATGAGTCAAACAAGAGTCAAAGATCTGACGGGTCCCGATTTTTTATTACGGTTTTGCACGTTCCAGACGGTCCACACTTTTCGAAACGTGGTACGGCCATGGTCGTTCCAGTCGTAGCGGGTGCCACGCCCCTGATATAATAATCCTCGATGCCTTGTCATTAGCTTGCGGGTTGTGACCTGCTGGATGATGCTCATGTGAATGAATGAGGTACTAGGAAGAGTATAGATTAATAGTCCCTTTTTGGCCCATTCACAATACCACTTTTTGCGACACGACATGCGACACCTGCAACGTGCTGCGACGCGCGATTCGCCATCTTTTTGGTTTTGCAACATCCCTGTGCACTAGTTATCTAGTCTACAGTGCTGCTCAATGAAATCCAGTCACGTAACTCAAGTTTGCGCCTTGCACCATCTCGCAGCCCAGTGTTGGCAGGTCTACCGCTGTGCAACACCCGGCGTGCACTTGAGTGATGCGACTGGATTTCATGGGAGCAGTACTGTAGTGTGCAGTGCATGTACTTTCACTGCACGTACACCTAGAGTAGGACTGTACTCTATTTATGTATGTTTCGCGGCGCATGTAGCAAAAAATAAATTTCAGTATAAACTTCTGGCAGTGGCCTTGCGACTGCTAGCATACCAACGACAGTACGCGCCAGGCACTTGCACGTCGCAAGTGCTGTGTGTTGCACAACGTGTCCCAGAAAGTGGTTTGTGAATGGGCCTTCACGGTCCTGTCACTCTATAGCCAATACAGACTGTGCGATGTAGCTATGCAAAGATTTAAGTGAAGGTAGACGTCCAAATAGTGCTTCCTCCAACAATACTAGAAGTTATGCGAATACATTATCAGTTGAGATGCGTTGGCAAAGTCGCAGACTCGTGGCACAGAGCTGCACTTGCACTAGTAGTGACTCGCGCTGCACCTATTCGGAAAAAGATGCCGACTCACGCTCGCATACTCGAGTCCATTTGAAAATCTCGATGAAATCATTCGCATAGCCTCTATAACTGGGGGTAAAGACTGGCTTTGCTTGCACTGTGGCTGGCCAGTGTGGGGTGGTGGCCGAACACCAGGTGTATACTGTTAACTGCCTATTGTTTACAACGTATCGATGCTTGCTAATTTTGCGAGAAGAGCATAACGCAAATACAAACTTCAACAGTGGGTGTATAATGTGTGCCAGCAGTGCTCTGCAAACATTTGCCATCGTGAACTCGCTGGTTCTGAGAGATCGCGACAATTTAGTGACGCAAACGGCATTGGGCGGATTACAGTACTACCGTAAAATTCCGTAAATAAGCCCACTCTAAATAACGCCCATGTCCGATAATAAGCCCAGTTTTAGGCGGTGTACACTTCAAGTCCGTTTTAGCGCCCATGCCCGAAATAAGCCCAGGGCGTAAAGTGGACTCAAAATGACCAGCGCGTGAGCGTGCGTTCGCGTACATGCCGGTACCTGTTGTGCCTTGTACTTACCATAGCAAGTGGTTTACCTATCAAATCTGTAATTTATCGCTACATTCTTGGTTACGCCCAAATTTCCAGCTGTGGTTTGATGTACCTGTACCGCGCTCAGTGTGAATGGTGGTTCACTGAAACTAGTGGGTTGCTGATAGCTTGATCTTCTGCAGATTGCGTCCGAAATAACGCCCATGCCCAAATATTCGCCGGAATTTTACGGTAGTACAGAGAGGCCTCGCTTATCTGCTCCTCTTTTATCCGGATCCCTCGCCATCCGGAAGAAAATCGAAAATCGTTGGTTACGGATTTACAGCATTTGTCATGCATACATACAGTATATGTGTTCGATTATCCGGTTCCCTCCCCCATCCCTGGTCAATAGGCGTTTCCCAAATCGGCCCGTTTTTCGCCTATTTGGCTTTTCGCTAAGCTCAGAAATACATCAGATTCGGCTGCAAAATCAGCTGCAAAATTGGAATATATTGGAAAATCGGCTAAAAGAATTGTTGGCATATTGGCTTCAAAATTGGTAAGATACTGGAAGTTTTGGTAGATTTTCGGCGATTGTCAAAGAACCCCTCCAAAATCAGCGAAAAGTTTACAATTTTTCGATAAGTCTCGTTTTTGGCGAATTTTTCGGCCAGCCGATTTGGGGATTTTTCTAGTAACGATCTTCCTAATGGCTAATGTTTGTTTGAGAGGAGGTCAAAGGACACGAGTCACATGACCTCAACGCACTAGTACTACAAGTACTGATGTAGAGAGCTCGAGCGGTCATGCTTACTGGCAGCAGGTTGCCAGCAACATCATTCGTTCGTAAATGTCTTTGCTACAACATAAAATGTTGTTGTTTTGGTAGATTTTCGGCGATTCTCAAAGGAACCCTCCAAAATCGGCGAAAGGCTTAGCGATTTTTCGACAAGTCTCTTTTTCGGCGAATTTTTCGGCCAGCCGATTTGAGGAAGCCTACTAACCAATCCGCACTCCCATTCTTTCATTATTTAGTGTGCTACGATGTGACGGTGCTCAATAGCATGAAATACGGCTTACAATACTCAACCACAACAGCGACAGCAGCAGCAGCAACCTGGCAGCTCAGATTCATTTAACACGTCACACCTGTGAAGACTTTGGGATAGACGACAAGCTGCTGCCATCACAACCAGTCTCCCTTCTTTCAAAATTAATAGTGGCTGCAGTGACTGAGTCAGACTACCGGTAGATTGTATTGCATGGACCAGTATGCTAATGCCGTAATGGCAGTGCAAAGGAACCGGCCTCCAAGCGGAAGTCATAAACAGTGCAGACTAGGCCCCGGTGTAATATGCCCGAAACTTTGCCGAAAATGCTTTTGGGAAATTCTCGTAAACCTTGCCGAAAATGCTCACTTTTTGTCATCCTCAGCACACGCCGTCAAAACCAGGGAGTCAGAAAATACTCAATAAGAGACTTGTTCGAGTCTGCCATGGTAAACAATTCATAAACTACTCAACAAGAAGCTAACCCACGGAATGCGGAAGTGACGTTCTTGTTTGGGAAGTTTTTCTTCTCTCAATTTTGATACACAACGGCCAAGTGCTCCGTTTCCCCCAAAATGCTGCATCACGAGCCCAAAGTGCTGGGTTCGCGGATTGTACCGAAAATGCTCAAAAAAATGCCGGCATATTACACGGGGGCCTAGCGCAGACACGTATACACTTACTAGTGTTGCCATTAGTATCACTATCCGTCGACCAAAGCCAGCTGGTCCATAGACGATAGTGACGTATTTCTGGACTCAGTGAAATGCAGTCTACTCTCCACGTAGATTTACTCGCGAATTACTTCCATGGCACCATACGGTTACCGGGAGGGAGTCGTAAAATACGACTCCCTGCCGGTATTAAAGGGGAAGTATACCCTAAAATCAAATTTTCACCAGTTGTAGTCTTCGGGGTGCTGAGTCGAATGGTCTTGGTCCGAGGAAGCTGAGACGCTCCCTTCCTACTTGAATCCCAATCGAACTCGCGCACTTCCACCGAAACTGGGTGACTGCGCCCTACGAGATGGGGATTTGTATGCAAAATGTCACTAAAAGCGCCATTTCGTTCTTATAAAAGCACGGATGACCGCGATTGGCCCATATGTTGTAGTCTTTTGGACGCTGAGTCGATTGGTTTTGGTCCGAAAAGGCTGCGATGCAGCGTTCCTCTTTTATTCCCAATCGAACATGGTTGAACAAGCGGTCACGTGCTCCTGCGTACACCAGTCACCTGGTCACCGTGCCTGCAGGGTACAACTTACTAGCCTGTTTGACCTTTTTTGGGTGCAGTCCTGTCACTCGAGTTGAACTCGTGTTGAACCTTGGTGTGAAAGTTGTCGCCTGCTGGCGCGGTGACCAGGTGATTTGGGCACCCAGGAGCACGTGACCGCTTCTTCAACCATGTTCGATTGGGAATAAAGGAGGAACGCTGCATCGCAGCCTTTTCGGACCAAAACCAGTCGACTCAGCGTCCAAAAGACTACAACATATGGGCCAATCGCGGTCATCCACGCTTTTATAAGAACGAAATGGCGCTTTTAGTGACATTTTGCATACAAATCCCCATCTAGTAGGGCGCAGTCACCCAGTTTCGGTGGAAGTGCGCGAGTTCGATTGGGATTCAAGTAGGAAGGGAGCCGCGGTCGCAGCTTCCTCGGACCAAGACCATTCGACTCAGCACCCAGAAGACTACAACTGGTAAAAATTTGATTTTAGGGTATACTTCCCCTTTAATGCCATGCAGATCATAATTATGGCCATGCGCCAGGCCAGGAAGAGTAAAACCCTAAGAAGAAGAAAAAGGTCTAAACAGAAATACCAAGTTCACCAGCAAACGAAGCAGCAAGCTAACCGTCTGAGAGCGAGCCACCTCAGCGGCACTACAACCTATGTTAGAGTGACTGGGCCAGGAGTGTACGAGTACTTACAAAGACGTGCACGCTTTCTTTTCCGAAACAAACACTGAAGACAGGTACGGAAAGCGGGCGGAATGTTTTCAAGCGAGCCTCCAAGTCGGTTCCGCACCTGCCCAAGAACATCCTGCGGGCAGGCTCTCTTCTCGAGCTCCATAGGCTAGCCAGTATTGATACGTTCCCAATCTACATATGGCAGCACTGAGACAGAACGTCCACTCCGTCGCTGATTGTATACTCGCACAGCCCAGAGCAACGCACACTTACTTACGTACAAGACGGCCAAGTGTTTCACACCACGATAGGTCGGGCCAGGGTGAAGACCTGTTACCAGAATCTTGAGTTGTGAAACCCAACAACTACATCTACACGCTCTGAATAATACCTTAGCTTAGGCTTTGATCTACCTAGGCTACCGCCTACCTTGTAAGCTGGTCGTGTTTCTCAACACCAGTTGTAACCCGGACGTGCTAACTTTGCTTTTCCATCGCCTATCGGTACCGGTCTGTGCGCACTTGGCAGGTCTACCATGTACCAGGACACCGCCATATTTACTATGATGGGCCATGGGGCAAGTATAAGTGAAAATAGTTGATGCCGCGTAACGTTCCGCGGCATCAACTAACCGTTACTTAAAGTCTTTACTTATTTGCCCCAGTCGTGCATGAAGGAGCTCCATCATGATAATTATGAGGTGGAGCCGCAGCCCCTACTGCCCTAGCTGGCGAAACCTTTTACCATCGCCATCGGTCAGCCAACACTGATCCTGATGCCCGTGCCGACCTGCGGGTGAAGGGATTCTGGACTGATACTGATAGCCGTAGAGCATTCTTCGATACATGTACTGTACATGTACAAGGGTGTTTTATCCCCATGCGTCAAGCTAGTATTGTGCTCCCTGTACCGAATTTCTTATTTAGCGCGAAGGTTTGAAGGCGAGAAGAAGCGTGTCTACGGTGAACGTGTCAATGAAGTCGAGCATGGCTCCTTCACACCTTGGGCTTGGCTTTAGTGTTCTCCTCCTGTGGTGGCATGGGCCCAGAAGCAGCCGTGGTAATCAAGAGGCTGGCGCACGGCTTGGCCACCAAGCGCAATGCTGCCATAGCCGGGTTGTAGCTTCTGCGGTGCTGCTTGGCATTTTCTCTCGCCAGGTCTGCCATCTGTTACGTCCGCGGATCATGCTCTGTTCGCCGTCGTCACTTCGACCTCGCGCCTGTCCACCTCGTCTGGCTCGACATTAGACCAGGGAGCCCTACACATACCATAATAATAATTATGACATGTTGCCAGGTGCCTGTTTACCACCACAATTATGACTTTCTTGCCCCCATCATGGTCTGTAGATGATGGTAGATGTTGTTGGTTGACACTTGACAGCATGTAACGACATGTTTTCAACAAAACAAGGTTTATCTAATACTGTAATAGTAAATACCATCATGATAGATCCGCTACCACGTGTGCATGGACCGGTCAGGGTAACATCCTTTATTGCTGAACCCACAAATTGTGATACAGATTGTAAAGAACCATTCGAGGTAAAAGGAAAAGCCGCTAATGAAAAAAGAAGAAGAAGAACAGGTTATTGTACCATGCCATGTACGAATTGAAGTGCACGGGCCGGTTGGCAGTAAAAAAAAAGAAGAAAAAAAAGAAATGAAGTTCTCACATTCGCGTTACAACTGCCAACATTATTATTACTGGTGTTGAGAAACAGAACAGGCAGAGGCGGTAGCCTAAGTAGATCAACAGTACTATTCAGAGCGTGTAGATGAAGTAAGTCGTTGGTTTTCACGACTCAACCTCCGCCCGCTGAAGATCACGAACATAATCGCGCAATGCCGGCAGTGCAATGCAGCCGTGAAAAGAGACGACGCAATCAGCCAGTGCTATGGCATGGCGCCGCGGGTACAGTATGTCCACCGGTATGACGGGCGGAAGACGCGCCAGCGGCCAAGCAGCATAGCATAGCATAGCATAGCATAGCATAGCATAGCAGGCATGCATGCATGAACACCAGAACAATGACTACTGTAAAAGCTATTACTAAGTATTCTAACGAGGCGCATATATGGCCCAGAATCTGCGAAAACCAGGCTTAGGGTGAAATTTCACAAAATGACTTTTTCCCATTTTCAGCTTCTACTGGGCATGGGCGGTCAGGAAACAAAATATTACAGGTGTGGGTCCACTAATAGTGGTATTAAAAGTATCTCAAACACACCAGGGTATTGTGTTAAAAAATCCCAAAAAAACACAAAATTGTTATCACAGGAAACAAATGAAGAGAGATCCACCAGACTGAATGAAGAGACATGGATGATTCTTGTTTAGGTGACATGACAAGGTAGGCATCCACCAGACTGAATGAAGAGACATGGATGATTCTTGTTTAGGTGACATGACAAGGTAGGCATGTGGGGGCAGGCTTGTTGTGGCCCCTTGGTGGTGCAGGCTGTAGTGGCCATGCACAGTTCTACATGAATTTTGTTTGCTTCTCACTCAGCACATTCTGGGGCTGAATACATGTATGTTGTGTTTGAAGTATGATGCACTGGCATACTCTGGCGCTATACACCACAAGGAAACCCGACTCCAGTTGAGATGGCACCTTTTGAAGGGTGAATCTAGTACAACTGTTCAGAATCAAGCAAGAACACAGCCTTTCAAACTGTTCCACTATTCATAGGCATAGTGTGCTGGCGTGCTGCAGTATCTGCTTGGTGCTGACCAGCAAATATCAGCACGCCGTACAATCCCTTGCAGCTAGCTGTCCAGCGAGGAAAGTCTCGAGTGGGGGCCTCTCGATCTGCTCGCTCATTCGCCTGGCCTTCAGTAGCACTTCATCGCCAAGGACTTCAATTCAAAACAGTTTTCACACTGCGCTTCAAGCCTTTTCCTCGTGAACTTGCTGCAAACGTGTGAGCTCTGCTGCGCGTGTTCCCTTTGCGTGAGGCCCAGAAACAGCTAGTATCTCCGTACTTCGATTGGCTGGATCGATGTCGTCCAGTTTCTCCTCGCTATCGCCATCACGACTCTAACTGGAGACGATTTCTTCACCATTTTCCGCAAGCAGCAGCTAGCGCAGAAATTTCGCCATCCCTGAGTGTAAGAGATGGAATCCGTTCGATCAGCTCAAAAACTCTTCGCTGTGACTAGAGGAGTAGCAGGGAATATTCTACCGGAAGCACTTTGACTTCCCTGACTGCTGAAACCCTTCCTGCCATGACTGCTACTTCTTCAAACAAGCGAGATTCTCTTTGCCTTTGGCTTTGGTTCCACTTCACTGCACTCGATCGTCCACGCGCGCGACACAACCTTTTTACAAAACATCATTTTTCTCAAAAAAATGATTTTCACCCTAAGCCTGGTTTTCGCAGATTCTGGGCCATATAACGATTTCCCAAAATTGACTAGTTTACGTGTACCAAAGGTAATGATTTTCACTCATTCTCAACGCTCAATAGGACAGTATATGTATCGATTTCTGTATAACGATTTCTATTTTAACGACAGATGTCTCCTCGTTAACTCGTTAGAGTTAGCACTTCATTATATATTATGGCTTTTACAGTATGTGTTTCTGGTGACAAATGACTTGAAATGTATTCGTATTCATGGCAACTGAGCAGCGGATGCATGTCAACCAACTTACTTACTTACTTCGTGGTTAGTACATGTATGACTTGGTACATGTACTTATATGTAAATATGTTGGACGGTTGCCAGCATGTGGTCACGTCCGGCACAAAGCGAAGGGACACACTGTGTTGTCACTGTTGAGAACAGTGCTCCCGACTACGACCATACACCACTGTACACCCGGTTGGGAGAGTAAAAACATAACACAACGAACCAGGAATAACGCAGACAAGAATACAAACGAAAGGAATACGGCTGGAAGGACATTGCACAGGACGCACATCCAACTACAGCACGAACAAAAATACTTGACAGACACACCAGACGTATTCTACTCCAGTGCTCTTGCTAGTGCTGCTAATCGTTCCATCGTTGTTTCAGGTACTGTTGCTGCTGCTGCTGCTGCTGGTGTTGACTTCGGTAGTGACTGGCAGGCGCTTTCATCCTTCTGATAGCATTGCGATTTTTCGGGAAAGCACAATAATGCATATAACGCGCACAGACAAGAAGGCACACACATACACGCAGACAAACCGGAAAAGGGGATAAACATAATCATCGGCTAGTCCAAAAGACAGCATACACACAGACCTGGAACAAGTATCCCTATTGTTTGTTACACCAATGCTTTTGCAAGCAGTGCGGGAGCAGTGGAGTAGGGAGAAAGAAGGATCACGAGCCCAGTACTGGCCTGAAGGTGAGTCTCCCGGCATGTCTCAGCACACAGGGATAGTTGTGATAGCCGACATGCAGCAACTAGAACATCTGTCCATTTGCACGAGGATCCAAGTTGGGAGAATCCCGCATGCTTAGTCCGTGCTATTGGAAATATCTGAGAGCACGTCACGGCATTCCTTGCAGTTTCACTGCTTGTTCTCATCTACATGTATGTACATGTAGTTATGCACGAGTCACAGAGTACCACGTGTCTGGTTTGTTACTAATACTTCTGAAGTAGTTTCATGCCACGTGGCAATCTTCAGGCAACTGATAAGATGCACTTGTATGGTATTTATACAGCGATATAGGAGGGGAATCAGTTTGTTGGAGGTCTGGAGATTCCAATCTCTCTACATGTAGTCAGGGATATTTCGCAACAGCTCCCCTTGCAGCCCACTGAACAAGACTATCTGCCATAATACCTAACTATCTCTGGCGGTACGGGTAGAGTGTGTAGCTTTCACAGGACCTGCACTCATGTATTTACCGCCTTTTCACCAGGTGTGTCTACCACCTGAGGTGCATAACTCCAAACTAGTTCTGCAGTAATATTAAATTTTGTAATTTTAAAGGTCAATACAGTAGTTGCTGGAAAAGATCTAAAAGTTGTGCCCAGCTATTGTAACGCTCGGTATAACGTTATTAGAGCAACTTCATTTTGCTTATTTGAAGTTATTTCTTCTGAAGTGCATTTTGCGAGTTGAACCAAGTTTACATCGCTCTTGGGCGTCGCGCATTGTATCACAAAGCCCTTCTGTGAACTTTGCTTTGCTCTTTTCACTGTCAGAACACATTGCTAGTGCCAACTGTTCATAAAATCAACACAAAGTTGAGAACGTACCACAGCTGCCGACATTTCAGTGAGGACCTCCAGAATTCGGACCATCTCCGGCTTCCATTTCTCCAGCTGCTGTCGCGACGTCTTGACCAGCGAATTTAGTCTATCCACGCGCTTGAGCCATTTAGTGTAATCCAGGTGACTCCAAGTCCAACCAGTGCAAACTTTTTGCCAGAGCTCGTACAGTCGATACACCTCCTCCAGTTCATGCTCAGCCTGCACGTTTGTCTCATCTCCAGTAGACCATTGTCGACGCAGGTCAGAATGCATCGCTTCCGCATCTCTGCTCAGCACATCCCGGGGTTTCCCATCGTACTCCGCTATGCGTGCGTGCAGCGTGGCTAGACTGCCCTCCACTAGTACAGCTCTCTGTTTCTGGCTGTCAATCGTATCCCGAAGAGTCTGACAAGCAGCCTCGGTGCCCTCGCATTCTTCGGACAACGAGGAATTATTTGTTCGAAGCTCGTGAGAATTCTCTTGCAACTTGGCACACTTCCTTTGCACAGTCTGTAGCTCAGCAAAGGCAATCCCGATAGCCTGAATATCACACACGCAGACATGCGCACATGCACGCGCACACACACACACACACACACACACACACACACACACGCATGACGACATATACATCAAGCAAGAAGTCTCCACACACCGGCAATGGTCTAGGACCTGAAAAATGAACAAAATTAATGATCTGGTTTAGGCTGTCTGATAATCGCTTTGGTATCAACAGCTTCCGGAACAAATAACTTTGCTTTTTCTGTGCTCAGCATGGGGCTTAAAATTCAACTTGACGATTTGAACAGCGAAATGGAGGCTTCCGCACTAACACCCGCCTTAGCAAACAAAGAAGAGTTGTCTGTAAACTGAACCTCCAAAGCAGCAGTAACACACACACGCATGCACATTCGCACGCACGCACACACAAACACACACAGACATGAACACACAAGCACCCTGCCGCCAGCGCCACCACATTTAATTCACTCTACACCCACACGCAGACACACATGTTGGCTCCTTACTTTTAGCTTTTCTTTGTCGATTGTGACGTCATCACCTGCTGCAGTCTGCATAGTTCCGCGAGATTTCTGTTGCAAGTAAGTTGGTACAACAAATAACAGAATAATGGGGAAGATTGGAACCGTGCAGGCTTCTTTACACCCAGCAAAGATTCTGATTTTTGACTTGTAATCCCCACGTAGGACTTTCTTATTTTTTACAAAGACCACTTAAATACCAAACATGAGATGCAGCTAGCGGAAGCACACACGACCTGAATCGTGGCAGTGATCCGGTGGGGTTTAGGGAGCTCCGCCGACCTAGGGTCTCGACTTCATGGCCACCTAGACGCACCGAGAGTGGGTGGGGGGGGGAGCGAGAGAGAGAGAGAGAGAGAGAGAGAGAGAGAGAGAGAGAGAGAGAGAGAGAGAGAGAGAGAGAGAGAGAGAGAGAGAGAGAGAGAGAGAGAGAGAGAGAGAGAGAGAGAGAGAGAGAGAGAGAGAGAGAGAGAGAGAGAGAGAGAGAGAGAAAGAGAAAGAGAGAGAGAGAGAGAGAGAGAGAGAGAGAAAGAGAGAGACAGAGAGACAGAGACACAGAGACAGAGAGGGAGGGAGAGACACAGAGAGAGACAAAGAGAGAGAGAGAGACAGAGAATGAGAGAGAGAGAGGTTGTGAAATTGTTAAAGTGAAATAAAAGGAACATTGAAAACATGAGATGATTGGTGAGTTGACTGCAGCCTCAGCTATTTGGCCAGCAAAGTCATAATTGTTACAGTAGGCCAGCTATTACATGGACAAGGGAGCCACTGTGCTGCAACATGGAGCGAGGGAGATTATAAGCTAGCGAAAAAGACACGGTCTCACTATGGCTGAGGTGGGTGTGAGAGGTCTGCTAGAGGCTCTCAGTCGCCCAGCTCCAGTGGTGCAGCTGGAGGTGACGGTGGATACGGCACTTAAAGGCTTGCAGGCCCTCCAGGTGTGGGGGTCTCAGCAGCATGCTTTGGGGCGGAGCATTCCATGTCTGCACAGCGCTGGCAGGAAATGCGCAAAGACAGCTGTTTCGCGTGCGTGCTGGGAGGTTAATTGATAGCTGGTGTGGGTGCGTAGGCTGAGCAGACTCGCGGGTGAGCTGTATGTCCTGAGGTCGACGTTGGGCACCAGGTGGGGGGGGGGGAGGATCTTCTTTAGCAGGTTGTCCGCATCCCGGCAGAATAGCTTGTACAAGTATGCAAGCGAAGCCACTGTCCGCCGCAGAGATAGACTAGGGAGCCAGGAGCCCGATCCGATGATGTGGATGGCTTGTCGCTGGATCTGGTCTAGCTTGGCCAAGTGTGAGGGTGGCGCACCAAGCCAGACCAGGGGACAGTACTCCAGCACAGGGCGGACAAACCCATTGTAGGCTCGGAGTCGGCCAGGGGGCTCTAGGATAGCAGAGACCTTCCGCAGGAAGCCTAGGCGTTGCTGTGCTCTGGAGCGGATCGTGCGGATGTGCTACGCATATGTCAGCTGGGAGTCAAAAGTGACCCCCAGGAGCTTCAGGTGGCCTGCTTCGCTGACTGGCGGAGCGTCGAAAGTGGTTCCCGGGAGCTGCCAAGGCTGGCGATGATGTGCGATTGTCATGGCTTGGGTCTTGGAGGGCTCAAACTTGATTTTCCACTCCATGCCCCAGCGAGACAGTGCATCCACACCCTGTTGCATGATAGCAGAGCTGCCAGGTATGGACACTCTTGAGGTGATGAAGTTGAAGAGCGTAGTGTCGTCGGCATATGCTGCGAGGTCCATTCCAGGAGGGAGATGGTCCTCGGCGTCATTTGTGTACAGGATGAACAGTGTCGGTCCCGGGATGCTGCCCTGGGGGACGCCAGCTCTCACTGGGTAGGGCTGAGATAGCTCCCCACCAACAGCTGCGGCAAGGTTCCGGTTGCTCAGGTAGTCGCGGAGCCAGCCAAGCAGGTGACCAGCTACGCCATATCACTCTGCCTTGTGGAGCTCTCCGGTGTGCGAGACACGGTCAAACGCACCAGCCACATCCACTGCGATCACCCTTACTGCACCACCGCTTGCGGCCACCCTGCCCCACTGCGAATTCAACAGGGTGAGGATATCCTGGGTGCCAAGTCTGCTGCGGAACCCATACTGGCTCTGGGAGAGGATATTGTTTGACTCAAGGAATTTCCTGAGGGCACGATTGACGATAGCCTCCATCACCTTGGACACTTTCCTGCGTGTATTACACAGGGCTCTGTTTGTACCATGAATTGCAAGAACGAAATGTGTGACTATATAGCGCTGAGCCGAGTGTCAGGTATCCCTGCAGCTGGCCTAAGGGTGTTCGTTGCCACAACCGGTTTTTTCATTAAGTCACAACGTGCACATGTCACAGCTCCACCCTTTCCAATTTGGCCCTACATACCCAAAAGGACCAACGGTACTCGCACACCACTACCACCCCCCCCCCCCACGCAACCAACACCGCAACCGGCAACTACAGTGAAGACGACGACAACCACAACAACAACGACGACAACGACAACAACACTAGCTATAAGAGGTAGCTTACCCAACATGGAGGAATTGGCTGAGAAATACCTAAACACAGGGATCAGATACAGTAAGCATGGAGAAATGCAGGAATTCTGACACTAGCAATGATAATTTGTTATAGTTTGTTGCTCGATCCACCTCTACTGACTTTTTTTAATTCTTAGAAGTACACAAACAAGGGTTAACTTGAAGCGGCGACATTTCCCTCAACGGAGGAGTGTGGCTGATAAACTGATGGGGTGATTTTTCACCTGAAATAATCTACCATCTCCCTTGCATCTGGTAGTAGTTTGTCATGTGCTGACAGCTACAGGCCATCGTTGACCTCTCCAGTGTACTTTTCAGAGAGTGCATTTCATAGAGAGAGAAAAACAGACATGCGGTACAGTAGATTCCCATAATTATTATGAATATGGCTCCTGGCAATTTGAGCGTTTGCTTTCTAAATTTATCAGGAAGACTTGCTCTGGATATTGGAGGCTTGATATAGCATACGGAAGTTAGTTGCTCCCACATTGGAGCGCATGCCTTTCCCGCTGACATGACTTGACACTTGACTGACCCATGACTGCCATACAGAGCACACGAGAAGTCCATCGAACCTTCAGTTCCACTCAGCAAACCTGCTAGAAAGCACCACTTCCTGCCCAATACACTGTGTTTCGGAGAAAAGTCATTCCCTATGAGTTGTGCTTGAGTAGGCTAAGTAAGGTTGTACCTGAAGAGCACCACCTATGTAGTGCTCTCCATGCTGCCAAACCATCAACAAGGATACAAACTGACAGAGAAAACGTAGAGTGCGGCCTCCAGTGTGAGAGCAACCAACTTCTTTATTGAATTAGCATGACTATTGTACTTGTCAGGTAATTTCACTGTACATGTACATTTATTATTGGACTCGGATGGAGAGCCCGGGATAAATTTATAGAAAAGAAAAGGACCAAGGAACCACAAGTTACGCTATAACGTCCACTAATACCACCAGTTACTAAACAATCAGCTCATGCGGTAAAATTGCACGACACTGACCGACGGTACTGACGTTCTACAGCTAACTGGCTAACAGCTCTAGCACATCTTGGATGCGCACTCCAACCTTCAAGATGTGCTAGAGCTGTTAGCCAGTTAGTTGTAGAAGGTCAGTACCGTCGGTCAGTGTCGTGCAATTTTACCGCATGAGCTGATTGTTTAGTAACTGGTGGTATTAGTGGACGTTATAGCGTAACTTGTGGTTCCTTGGTCCTTTTCTTTTCTATACATTACTTCAAAGTATTATTATTTATATTGTTATTGCCCATGTGTGTCGGCATCGGGAGACTGAATAAGTCAGACTCCCTAGCTTTCACTCAGGCCGTTCAGAGCGGGAGTGAAAAATAGACTAAAAAGTGACAGGAAGAAGAAGAAGAAGAAAGAAACAAAAGAAAAGCACACATCGATCCTTGATACAAAAATGAAACACATCGAAATGTTGCGAAGCTGCAATGTCAGCAGATATGAACCAACACATGTGTATCAGGCTGCATGTCCATCTGCAGATATGAGCCATCTATTATCCTGGAATATGCCGGGGCATCGACATTAACATACAATCTAATGACGGCTTTGGCTCTGAAGCGAGCGCTCAGTTCATGAGAAAGAATATTGGAAAGAGAGCAAGAGAAAGAGAAAGAGAGAGAGAGAGAGACAGAGAGCAGGAGAAAGAGAAAGAGAGAGAGAGACAGAGAGAGAGAGACAGACAGAAAGAAGAGAGAGACAGAGAGAGAGAGAGACAGAGAGATAGAGAGAGAGAGAGAGAGAGAGAGAGAGAGAGAGAGAGAGAGAGAGAGAGAGAGAGAGAGAGAGAGAGAGAGAGAGAGAGAGAGAGAGAGAGAGAGAGAGAGAGAGAGAGAGAGAGAGAGAGAGAGAGAGAGAGAGAGAGACAGACAGAGAGAGAGTGAGAGAAGAAAAGAAGAAGAAAAGCGGAAGAGAGAGAGAGAGAGAGAGAGAGAGAGAGAGAGAGAGAGAGAGAGAGAGAGAGAGAGAGAGAGAGAGAGAGAGAGAGAGAGAGAGAGAGAGGGAGGAGAGAGAGAGAGAGAGAGAGAGAGAGAGAGAGAGAGAGAGAGAGAGAGAGAGAGAGAGAGAGAGAGAGAGAGAGAGAGAGAGAGAGAGAGAGAGAGAGAGAGAGAGAGAGAGAGAGAGAGAGAGAGAGAAGAGAGAAAACACTTTCACAGAATGTTCACAAAGGCCATCACTCGAGCGGCAGTCCCAGGCACAATAGCCTGGTACACGGCCAGCCATGCGCGCCGATCCTGTGCCATGCACCTCATCTGCTCGAAATCCTGCACACTCTTGAGGGGAATGCCAGCCATCGCAAGGTCACTTTGGAGGACCAAGGGCAAAGTGGACCTGGGCCTGCCTCTGTACTTCCCAGCGCCTTCATAGCCTAGTGTGATGGGATCCGCTCATCATCCTTACCAGCAATATGGGATATGGGACCAGAAGGCTCTACCTTGAGGCCCGGACAAGAGTGCTGATTGGGTCACCATCAGTGCGCCGGTAGAGCTCCTGGTTCTTGACCACCGGGGGGGGGGGGGGGGGGGGAGGAGTGTTGGATACCGATCACACATCGCAACTGTTGGCGATGGCATGCATCCAAGGAATTCAGTTGCCATTGGCTGAGGCCCCATGTTGACATGATATTTCTGCGGTGAGCAGCTCCTTCAATAGTATTGTCACTCCAAGTCATCCGGACACCCTACAGATGCCCCATGGTCCCTGCACCCGCACCTCACTATCAGCTCTCCTGTCAACGACCTGTCCGGCAGTACAGCGACTACTCGCCACAATCAATCCTGACAAGGCTACAGGCAGTGACGAGATCCCTGGCCGTCTGCTGCGAGCCTGCAGTGATATTGTTGCCCCGCACTTATGCGACCTCTTCAATGCCTCCTTGCATTCTGGTCGCCTACCGATGCCGTTCAAACACGCCCTTGTAAGTTGTAAAGCCGCTTTACAATGCAGGGGACCCAACAGTTGCCACTAATTACAGACCCGTGTCATTATTACCAATCGTTGCGAAGCTGCTTGAAAAGATAGTCCATTGCCAGCTTGTGAGGTTCCTCGCGGCAAACGACGTGCTGCCGACCACACAATTTGCATATCGAACAAACCACTGCACTGAAGACGCTTTGGTACTCCTGACGCAGAACATTCTCAATGCAAAGGACGCACGACTAGCCAGTCACCGGGTGTGTGTTTGCTGGACATGTCGAAGGCTTTCGGAAAAAAGCATGACATTCTTTTACTCGATCTTTTCGAAGTTGGTCTTCATGGCACTGCACTCCAATGGTTTGCAGACTACCTCGAAGGACGCACCCAACAAGTGCAAATCGCTGGATCCGTCGGTGTCTGTGGCACATGTTCCCGCAGGGTTCCGTTCTGGGACCCGTGCCTTTCAACATCTACCTGTACACCAGGCATGTGCCTACCGTTGTCAGCCCGTCTCTCTCAGTACAGTTTGCTGACGATATTGCTCTCCCGTTCAGCCACCCTGATTGCCATGAAGCAGGCGCGTGCACCGTATGAGTTTTTTGGTGTCTGGAAACCACCTTTTTTCGGGCAATCTTGCCAAAGGAAAATCGTGCCTACTGGATTGGTTATCCTGCATACGCGTCGATCGACGGGCAGTTTACAGTACAGTGACTATGTCCTTATTTCGAAGTGAGAGAGAGAGTTGCTTTGCATGCAGTTCAAAATACATTATTCTCTCCTTCTTCAGTGGAGAGTAGCGACAGAGAGATCGATCTCTAGATCTGGTTCGCTCCTGGATTGGCGATGACGTTCAAGAAATCCGTTCTGTCTCGAAATTTGAGTAAAGCACGCGCGATGCAAGTCAGTTCAAGGATATGATTGACGATATCTCGTTCCAAACTGTTGACTCAAATAAAGATCTCCACAGCCTTTCTTTCTCGCTCATGTGCGCAGCAGAGATGTTCGTCAAAAACGTTGTCGACTGGAAGACGTAAAAATGTGCGCCCAGTCCATGATCCACTTGCGCTGCTTCAGAACGAAGCTTGGCTCCGGCCGCGACTCAAGGACGCGGAGCTTCGCTTTTCTTCCGCAAGCTTCCATCGAACCAAGGCCCATAACTCTTTATTGAAATCATGTGGAACATTGCCAACACATGCACAATGCTGAAAACTTCGTCATAAGAACAGAAAGAAAGATCCGTCGAATGTAAGCAGTGTTTTGATGAAACAAACATGCCTGGAGTGGACTAGTGAAGTACCATAGACATAGTGATATTACTAGTCTTATAGACTGTAGTGTAGCCTGGGCGGCTAGGCCTATCAAACTGTTACGTGTTCAATATGACAAACATGTCATTGTATACGAGTACATTGACTTTTGCACCCTCTTTGCAAATGCTTTTTCAAGTGCTGGTATGTAAAAGGTAACCCGTTTTATCCTGTTACCGGTTATACATGTACCAACATTTTCATGCAACATCGTCCCCTCCCTCCATTCCTCATTACTCTTATTTCTGTCTTTTCTACCTCTGTACCTGGTTCCCTCTTAGACGCGTTTGTGCCGGCATGATCTGATGATAGCAGTCGGACGAGCCCAGCATCTCATCAGCACCAGTATTCATTGGTGCCCTGCACCCCTGATCTTGAGTCCCCCCCTCCCTCCTCCCTAGGCCTAGCCCTCGCCGTTATCTCCGACGGGATGTTCGGGGGATGCGCACAAATACAATAATAATATTATACAGTGGGTCCCCCAAAAAAATTTACCAACTCTAGAAACCCCCCTTTCAAGACTCGGTGCACGCCACTGATGAAGTATCGCACATTCTCACAAAGTCTACAACCGAGATTGCTAACCACCTCCAGGAACGGAATCTAATCCTGAACACTAGGAAAAGCCATGTCCAGGGAATTTCCGGCCAAGACATTTCTGCCAAATGCTGTGGAAACTCGCTACCAGTAGTCCCCCAATGCGAGGTACCTGAGCATCACGATAGACGAGCACGTTCGATTTGACGAACACATTACCAATGCTATAAAGAACGTCTCGCAGAAGGTGGTAGCACTCTGGAAAGCCCGCCGTTACCTTACAAGAAGGTCCAGAGAATAGTACGTGAAATACGTTGTGATGCCAGATTTGCTCTACGGGTCCAGCAAACCGTGCGGCATGCGCCGTATTCGGCCTGCCACCTCGCACAAGCGCCCAGCCTCTGCTTACTCGTCTGCAGCTGTATGGCATCGAAGAGCTCCACAAGCAAAATAACCTTGTTATGATCTGGCGTTGCTCGAATGGTCGGGCAAGCAATGTACTGCAAGCCCTTCTAGAGCGTCCCAGTACTCGCACAACGCGCACGCAACGCAGCTTGGGCCTTCAGGTGCCCAAATCTGCCTTCGAAGCCGAAACACTGTTTTCTGACGATCGCTTAGTGCGTGAAACTCAGAGTTAAAATAATTTTTCCGTCCTCTTATTGTTCAATCTGATTATAGATTGGTACTGACACTCCATTCTGCGATGAACGGTATCCGGTCCATGTACATTAAATGATTTATAAAAATTAATTGCATTCATGGGGTGTCCATCTGAAATACATGATTTTAAAAACACAATGAAAAAAACAGCCCAGTATCTTCTCACCTCTCGACGATGGTGCCAAACCCAAACCAGTCGTCTGAAACCACTGTTTCGGCAGTCTCTCAAGCAGCACTTGGAGCTCGCTGACTCGTGCCATTGCTGTCTCCATTACCTTGAGCAACTTCTCCACATCCAAACAGAGCAGCTGTGTGGGTGCAGCATCCTGTGTGTCCTCCTTGTTGATTGCAATGAGGCGTTTGCGCAGGTCGCTGCGCCGTTCTGAAATCTCTTTCAGGACAGCAGCCAGTGGTTTAGTCTCATATTTCAGCATGAGAACGTTCAGGTTTTCATGCTGACCTTCGAGTTCAGTGATTGATTCTGCCAGGACTGCGTGATGCTGTTGGAGTTGCTTCATGTCACTGGTGTGGCCCTGGAGACGCTTCTCCAGGACACAGTTCTCCTCACGTAGCCTGCTGGTGTTCTCCTTGAGCTTCTCATGCACTTGTTGCGCCTTTACAACTTCTTGGAGCAGGTGATCTGCTGAGCTGGTGTGAAGTGCTTCTAGGTAAAGTTGAGCGTCAGTGAGGACGGGACGTTTGTCAGGGTCCGGTTCGAGCAATGCCATCACCAACGTGTTGAATTCCGGCAAGTATTCGCTGGGTAATGGCTGAATGTTGACATCTTCCATGTCGTACACCACCTCAAGATCACCGCCGCCTCCATCTCTAGTTCTGTATATGCGGTATACGATTGGATAGTTTGGTAGCGGATGAGTTTTCATCACAAACTCGTATATTAGGACGCCCACAGCCCAGCTGGTCTGTCTGTCAATGGCGTACTCAGTCCAAGGAGACCGTGGGCGAGTATGCTGATTGTGAACCTCAGGCGCAACATGCTGGTCGTTGTTCCGTTCACAGGGAATGTATTGTGAGCCCTCTTTGAGGTACAGGTACTCCTCATGGCCAATTCCTGCCAGGACAATGTCACCATTGCTCTGCAAGTTGCCATCGCTCTTCATTAGCAAGTGCTCCAATTTCAGGTCGCAGTGCACTATGCCATGGTCCCTCAAGAAGCACAAAGCATCCAGCAGTTGCATGGCGAATTTCTTGGCCTGTGCGTAGGGCGGTGGTCTGTCGCCAGGCAGTGGCCTGTCGCCAGACAGACCGCTGCGGCAGACTACTAGCGGAACATGGAGATCAAACAATACAAACTGAGCACGGCGACCACCACGCGTAAAAACCGACTGCTCGATTGTGCCCTTCACATCCTCAGTTAGCTTCTTCCACAGGTCATCCTCGATGGTATCCTCAAACCAGGTCAAAATACCAACGATATTCTTGTGTCTCAGGACTCGACTGCGTTTCAGCCACTTCTGGTCTCCAGTACAGTTGGACTGGCTGGTCATCGTGTCGTCGATTGCAGTTTTAGGTGAGGGCGACCGAGCGTAAGATGTTGCCGCTGCAGCGTCCGACCAACTAGTAGTACCGATTTCGTGGTAGAACATCTTGAGCGCGTATAATTTATTAGGCGGCAGTCCTTCCAGCGTGCATCGTACAGCGAATACACTACTCTGAGAGCCGCTGGCTACCAATCCGACGAACTGGAAATCCGAGGAGCGAGCGCGGTGCAGGATGGACGGCTGCTCTTCAACATCACTACCAACTGCTTCGAAACTTGAATGAAGCGAAGCCATTGGCATTGGAGGCACACACCCGTCACGGCGTGACCTGCAACACAGTAGCTTCAGTGACTTTGACTGAATCAATGATTATGTACCGGTAGATCTACACAGCGAGCGCGAACCTTGCGGACTGAATGACTCCGAGATGCAACCTTATGCTTGTACAGTAACATCAACCAGAGACAGTAGTATCCAGGGTGTCCTTATCCCAACACTACAATAAAAAATCTATGATTATGTCCAGCTGATCACTGAGCTCTCGCACGAGCCATGAAAACGAAACGAAGGAGAAGCATGAAAACTTTAAAGGCAAAAGCGACCTACAAGTTGAGCTGTGTACGACCCGAGCTACACTGTTTTCTGGTTACTACATCATACATGTTTGTTTTTGTTTTTTTTTGTTTTTTACGAGAAACCACGAACGTAGCTCGAGAACAGAATAATAGTGCATGATAGAGGTCACTGCAGACACAACTGTGGTGGTGAAACTGGAGCATCTCCGCCGACCTGAGGCTGAGGCTGAGGTCTCGGCTTCAGCGACATTTCAATGCACCAAAAAGTGGGGAGGAGAGGCACAGGGGCTAGGGGGGAGGGGAGGGGGCCGGGGGAGTACACCACTCACCAGGCATGGTACACTTGTATGGTGAAAAATGGGCGCTTGAGTAGACGCTCTAGGCGCTCGAGCTGATGTGAGGTGAGGCCAGCAGAGAAACAGTTTCTAGCATACATGAAGTCAGGAAGGATCAGGGACTTCAGGTACGTGATGCGGCACGGGAAGGGCATGCAGCGCCTGTTTCTAAACAGGACAGCTATTTTACAGGCAGCTCGCTTGGCGATCTGGTTGACCATTGTGGTCCACTTGAGATCTTGGTCCATGTGGACACCAAGATACTTTGCGGATTCTACTTGTGCCAGTTGAACTCCAGAGCACATAACGCTGACACGAGGGTTCACAGAACGATGGGCAGGGATGAACAAAATCTGGGTTTTACTCTCGTTTAGTACCAGGTTCCTGCTGGCAAGCCATCTGGCCAGGTGTGTAACTGCAGAAGACATACTGCGTTCCAGCTGATGTTTGTCCCTGCTACTAATATAGAGCATGATGTCATCTGCGAACTGAACTGTCCGCACACCATACGGTTGCACTTCAGCTGCCACACCACGGACATAGAGGACAAACAGCAGAGGACCAAGTACGGAACCCTGGGGCACACCACTGCTGGGCTGGAATACCTTGCTGTGCTGGTTCCCAATGACAACTCTTTGCTGCCGGTCACTTAAGTAGTCTGCCAACCAATTCAGCGCACTTCCACCAACACCAATACTGAAGAGGTCGCGGATGAGGGTGCCATGTTGAACCTTGTCGAATGCCTTCGACATGTCAACAAAGGCGGCGCAAGTTGAGAGTCCGGAGTCTTTGGCATTGGCAAAGGCCTCTGATGCCATCACAACAGCATCCTCTGTTGAGTGCTGTTTCCGGAATCCGAACTGGCAATCTGGGTAGAGGCTGTGGGTGGTCAAGAATTCAGTGAGTTGCGAATGTACGATGCGCTCAAGGATATTTGAGATAATAGGCAACAGAGCCTTGTCATAGCCCTTGGCGGATTATACCGGCATAATATTTGGCATAATCTTGGGATTTCGTCAAAAAATTATGCTCCGGCATAATAATATACGGATTCCAACGTGTAAGGTCGGCATAATCTTTCGGTTTAGACAAAATTATGCTTAGGGCATGGCCGTGTGTGTATGCGTGGTTTCTCAATCCTCTATGTACAGCGTGCATACATAGTGGAACCGAGCATAATTCAGCATATTTGTTGGCATAATCAAAAGCATAATAATTAGACGATTGGCCGAGCATAGTCCGCCAATGGCTACAGGGAGGGCTCAGAGGGCATCTATCTGTGGCTGAGTACCAGTCGCGACTGCGGAAAGACTTGTACAATGTATGTGATACTAGTTAGTAGCATCGCGCTTGTCAAGTTTTAGACGGGTTGTTGTTGTTGTTGTTGTTGTAGAAGTTTATTTAACGTCGCACCACAAACAGGCGATTTCGCCTCCTTTATTTATTTATTTATTTATTTATTCACAATCACGTGGCACTAGCCAATGAAATGGTGATGTGGGCGATAGCCAGCCATGGCGGTGATAGAGCTAGACGGGAGAAAGAAAAAGAATGAAAGGGGAACTGAAAAGTAAGAGAAGCCATTACTGAGCTAGCACGGCTGTCTAAATTTTCGACCTGGGATTTCCAGGTTAAGAGTTGGTCAATAATGACGCCAAGATGCTTGTGTTTTTCAACGATGCAGAGCGGGGTTGTGGTGCCTGGAAAGGTGAAGGGACTGGTTTCTAATGAAGATAGGTCACAGGAACAACTGGGGGGGGGGGGGGGCAGTTTTCGAAGAGTTGGGCTGCAAGAGTTGGGCTGCAATTTCCATTTTTCCATCCAATGAATAACGCCATCTATGTTGGACTGTAACTTGGCACTAGCCTCGGGGAGAGTGGGTGATACATGTGGACGACAGAAGGAATGAGAGAGGGGGGGGGGGCAGAAGTACGGAGAGAGGAAGGGTAGAAATAAATAGGGGTGAAACGAACGAACGAAAGTTCGAATATTCGTTCGAAAAATTTGAAAACGAACGAACGAACTCGCAAGATTGATAAACGAACACAGCAAGCAAGCATAAAGATCGCTTGTGACTAGATCACGAAGGAGCCGCGGAGGTTGGGAGATCGTGAGCTTGCACGCTGATCGACTGTGTTTGCCTTGATGATCACTTGAAGTTGAAGCAAGTTGAAGGAGTTGAGTGTCGCGTCGGGACAAAGTTTCTTGAAATATTTCTGTGTGTCCGTTTGAGTTAGATTTGTACTCGTAGTGAAAGGATTCGAGTCGCTTGTGACATCTGTTCCTGAAAGCAAACGTGCACTCGTTGCAATCATGTCAAAACATTCGAGCCTTTCATCGCGATCCGGAGTTGGAGCGGAATTTGATAAAGTGGTCGGGAAAGACGAAGTCATTTTCTCAATTTCAAAAATTTTCTATCACACAGCAGAGCGACGACAAGCAATCTTCGTACCCACGTCAAGAAGTACCGTTCTCCTGCTCTGACGACCTGAGCTAGCGATGAGAAGAAAACTCTCGTCCGGACGATGGTGATGGACTTTGCAGCTACCTGCAAAACCCTGTGATTCAGCTCAGGCGGACGCGATAAAAAAACATTTCTGTTCTGGCAGTGTATATGTATCGTACACCGTCTGAACTGTGGCCAGCCAAGTACAGAGAACGCCAGTACTGACAGACTGTAATAAAATAATAATAAATTAACTATGGTCTTCAAAAAAAAATTCATCCATGAAATACATAATGGAGAATGTTCGTTCGAGTTCGTTCGTTAGTGTGAGAGTTCGTTCGTATTCAAAATTCGATGTTCGTTTCACCCCTAGAAATTCAAATAAATAAGCAAATCAAATAAACCTGGGTTGACTATTCTGCCATGGCAGCTGGGTAGGTGAGTGGAAATCTGTCAGTCACCGCCGAGTGGTGCAGACCTTCTCAAGCTCGTTATCAAGCGGACCTACCGTAGCATCATGGATTGGTGGCCCTGCTACGGACCTTCCCACGCAGAAAGGAATGCAGGCATTCAAGGAAGGCGCCAAGTCTCTCAGGCCGCAGTCGAAACTGGCACTCAGCCACAGATGCCCTCTCAGTGTGAACCTTCCCTGAACACCCTTTTTACTCTGCTACGTGTATCATCTTTCCATTTGTCACCCTCCCCCTCCCTGTGTCCGCTCCTTCCCACTTTTTGGTGCACTGAAGTGTCGCTGAGGCCGAGTTCAGCATCTGCAGCACAGTGGCTAGGTGGTATAAGGGGTCGCTTGAGATTTATACTATTGTGGGTTCGAATCCTGCTTATTCTCTTCCTTTGTCTTCTTTGAAAAAAAATACTATGAAACTGCAGGCAGCCTCAAAACTTCTTCTCACTTTGTCTTCTTTCTTTCAAATTGTCTTTTTGAAGTGGAGAGAAAACTTCTTTGGCGGGACTTGAGAAATTTTCTCTCCACTTCAAAAAGAAAATTTGAAAGAAAGAAGACAAAGCAAGAGAATAAGCAGGATTCAAACCCACAACTGGGCTGCAGATGCTGAACCCTGTTGTTCTAATACAGTCTTGTACCCAAAATAGGCAACCGCCTATGTACACTATAGTACAATTAATGCTATACTAAAAAGGTTAAAATAGCTCCTAAAGGTTCAAATTTTGGGGTTATGGCAAAGGAATCGTGATAAATAGGATATTGACCTCGACTTCGGTCTATAATATTATGGTAAATATAGACCTCGTCTTGGTCAATATCCTATACTTATACAGTGTACCTACCTTAACACAGTATCACATAAAAACATAGTGTGGTGAGTGTGTGTGTGTGTGACCTCCGAGATAAAAGTTCAGACTCGAGTATACTAGTAGTAGTACCAGGAAGCACAAAACCGCACGGTCGCGACTCACACGGTAGATGCTGGGATACTTTGTGCCACTGGTATAACATAAAATTAACAACCAATGTAACATGTGCCAGATGGTCGAAAATCTACAAGCCCAGTCTCTAATATAAGCCCGGGGTCCGGACTGGTTGAAAAATATAAACCCTGGGCTTATATTGTTATAATGGAGATAATACGGTATGCATGTGCATAACAAACACGTCATGTAATGCATGTGGATTTCGAACGTGCATGTGCATGACTGTGTCTTGCATGCATAGTTCAAGCCAAAAGTCATGCATAGCAACTACACGGCTGCACTGCGCTGCGCTGCGGCGAGTGTGCAATGCCCAGCCTAGCACTAGCAGTCAGCACGCGTGGAGTGACCCAGATCAGAGGTCCGGGCATGTGACACAGACATGGGCCATGGCCCATGCATTCCACTCCGCCTGATATACAAGAGGAAAGTCGTTATATTCGATGCATTTCCAGGTCTTCGGGCACCAAAAAAGTGTCAGTAAATTCGATCTGTCGTTATTTTCGAGGTCGTTATACCCAATCTATAATGTGCAGAAGGGAACTTCGGCCCATGCGGTTAGTTGGTTGGTATACTGAAGTACATTGTACATGTATACTTGGCCCACTGTTATGTCTGGCAGTAAGGGCCCGCACACAGCATTACACAGGTTCGTATGGTTATTCTAATAATGAAAGAACTGAAGGACAAGGAAAAAGAGCTCACATTCTCGGACGTCTAGTCCAGCACGGCAAGCA